GCTGAGCTCCTGCTGGATTATCAAATCCTGATAAAAAGCCAAAAGATTTAATCTTCTGTTACAAAAAATCAAGACGTTCTTTTATATCAGGAGGAATTCAACGGGAGCTTTCTGATGAATAGGCTAAGCTCCTGTTGGATTATCGAATCCTGATAAAAAGCCAAAAGATTTAATCTTCTGTTACAAAAAATCAAGACGTTCTTTTATATCAGGAGGAATTCAACGGGAGCTTTCTGATGAATAGGCTAAGCTCCTGTTGGATTATCGAATCCTGATACAAAAAGAGGAAATCTACGATAACCTACAAAGTTCGAGATTTTTTTACGAGCTCCTTTATTTTAACTATCATGTGGTAAATGTGAACTTGGTAGATAGTCAATTATTGATAGGAAAGCAAAAAGGAAAACGAAATAGCCGTTTTTTTACTGTTTCAGCTCCTCTTGCGAGATAATGTAGAAACCTAACTCCTGGGTTATTCTGAAATCCTGATAGGAAGGCAAAAACCAAACGGAAGAACCTTATTTACAAATTCCTGTTACAAGGTAATGTTTAAGCCTTTAGTTCCAATTAGATTCTGAAATCCTGGCCCAAAGGTACAAAATCATTGATAACCTACAAAGTTCTAAAGCTCCTTTATTTTAGTTCCTGTTACGAGGTAATGATTAAACTCTGTTCTTGGTTCTTAAATCCTGGTAGGAAGCCAGAAAGAAAACGAAAGAGACTTTTTTTGACAAGGTCCTGATACAATGTAATGTTTAAACCTACAAAAGGTCAAATCTTTTTTTTAAGAGAATGAGTTCCGGCTACTGTTACGAGATAATGTAGAACTGAGCTCCTACGAGATTCTCAAATCTGATATATAGGCAAAAAATTAATTTATAGCCTATAAAACTCAGACTTTTTTACAAGCTCTTCCATTTTATCTCCTGATATAAGGTTAAAACCAGAGTTTATTACAAGCACCTTGAGTTCAGTTAAGAGATAATGTGTGAAATTAAGCTCTACTAGATTCTCAAATCCTGATATTTAAGCAAGAAATTAATTTATAGCCCGTAAAACTTAGACTTTTTTTTACAAGCTCTTCCATTTGGTCTCCTGATATAAAGAGGTACAAAACCTAAGGTCCTCCTAGGTTCCGAAATCTTGATATGAAGGCAGAAGGACGAAAGGTTTACTTTCTAAAACCAGACAAGCACCTTCAGTTAAGAGATAATGTGGAAACTAAGCTCCTAAGAGATTCTCAACTCCTGATATTAAGAAAACATTCATTTACAGCTTACAAAATATCGCAAGCTCCTCGATTTTACCTCCTGATACAACGTAAAGCTCCTTAGCTCCTATGAGATTCTCAAATCATGATGATAAAGGAAAAAAGGCAATTATAGCACACATAGTCCAGACTTTTTACTAGGCTGTTTTATTTTCGCTCCTGTTACAAGGTAATGTAAACGCAGCTAATATAAAAATCCTAATATAAAATGAAAAACCAAGCAGAAACTTTTTTACTATAAAAAAAGAAGTCCCACTAGATTCTCAAATCTAGATTTTAGGGAAAAACGTTCATTTATAGTCGACAAATCTCTGATTTTTTACAAGCACCTTGATTTCAGCTTGATTTTTTTTTTAGTCTAAGCTCGTGGAGATTATTTACTCCTGATCGTACGAAACTCAGAAATTTTTTTCAAGCTCCATTGGTTTCAGATTCTGTTACAAGATAACGTGTAAACCGAGTTCCTACTAACTTCTCAAATCCTGATATCATGGCAAAAAAAAATTATTTGTAGGCAAAAAAATGCAGAGATTTTACGAGCTTCTTGATTTTGACCTTCTGTTATAGATAAATGTGGACGCTGAGCTCCTACGACCTTTTTAAATACTGACTTCAAGGAAAAAAATCATTTGTAACCTACAAAACTTAGACATTTTCTACTTGCTTTTTGATTTTCCCTACTGATAGGATTTAAAGGTATCAAGCTCCTAATAGATTCTCAAATCCTGATATCGAAAACAATCATTTATCGCTTACAAAACCCAGAAGTTTTTCTACAAGCTCCTTGATTTAGACTCCTGTTACGTCAGTAGAAACTGTACTCCTGTTCGATTCTTAAATCCTGATACAAAGCCAGAAGGAATCTATTTTTTCATTAGCTCCTGTCTGATTTTGGCCTCCTGATATAAGATACAATACTTAGTTCCTCCTAGGTCTCACATCCTCATATCAAGACAACAAAATTTATCTCTAGTCTAAAAAACGTAGAGATTTTTTCGAGCTTCTTGATTTTGAGCTTCTGTAAGAGGCTATGTAGAAACTGGTAGATTCTCACATCCTGATACGAAGGCAAAAAGATCAAAGGTTGTCCTACAAAGTCAAGATTTGTTTTTAGACTCACGTTGATTTCACCTCTTGTCACAAATTAATTTGGATACTGAGCTTCTACGACCTATTCAAACCCTGATATCAAGGGAAAAAAATAATTTATAGCCTAAAACCTCAGACATTTTCTTGATATTGATTTTACCTCCGGCTAAAGGTATCAAGCTCCTAATAGATTCTGAAATTCTGTTATCGAAAAAATCCTGATCCAATCGTACCTAGCTCCTACTAGATTCTCAAATCCTGATATCAATTTGCTTTTTGATTTTCCCTACTGATAGGATTTAAAGGTATCAAGCTCCTAATAGATTCTCAAATCCTGATATCGAAAAAAATCATTTATCGCTTACAAAACCCAGAATTTTTTCTATAAGCTCCTTGATTTAGACTCCTGTTACGTCAGTGGAAACTGTACTCCTGTTGGATTTTTAAATCCTGATACAAAGCCAGAAGGAATCTAATTTTTTTTTACAAAACCCAGACCTTTTGTTTAACTCCTAGTGGACCTCCTAAATCCTGATACAAAGGCATCCTTGATTGCCTCATGATCATTTTGGTCTCCTGATACAAGGTACAGTACCTAGCTCCTTCTTGATTCTCAATTTCTAATATCATCACAAAATAATTATTTATAGCCTAAAAAATCCACAGATTTTTACGAGCTTCATTTCAAGTTAATGTGGATACTGAGCTCCTACGACCTTTTCAAATCCTGATATCAAGGGAAAACGTTCATTTATAGCTATTAAATATTTGTACCGTTGTTCTCCTGGTACAAATAAGCGTAAGAGGTAAGCAAGTTCTAGGTTACAAAATCCTGATACGAAAGCCAAAATTTCATTTATATTTTACCAAACACAAATTTTTTTTAACTCTCTCCTTATACAAAGACGTGTGGTGGTCCTACTAGATTCTCGAATCCTGATATGAAAATAAAGAATCAATGGCTAAAGTAAAATTCCAGTCTTAGTAACGAACACCTGGTTCTACTGAATGCCTACAAGGAAGCTCCTGATACAAAGAAATATAAGAAGTAAGCTCCTAGTAGATTCTCGAATCCTGATATTAAGGGAACAAATTCGTTTATCGCCTGCAAAACTCAGATTTTTTTTTATAAGCTTCCTTCATTTCAGCTCATGATTTAAAAGGATCTCGTAAGATAATGTATAAATAGAGCTCCTGCTAACTTTCAAATCCTGATAGCAAGGCAAAAATTTCTTTTATGGCTTAAAGGTGTATAATTAAGAGATAAATTCCTACCAGATCCTAGAATTCTGATATTAAGGGAAAAATTCATTTACAGCCTACAAAACTCAGAACAACTTTTTTTACAAGCTGTTCAATTTTCATCCTGATACAAAGAGGTACACAACCTAAGTTCCTCCTAGGTTCTGAAATCCTGATATGAATGCAAAAGGACTAGCGGCTAACTTACTAAAACTGAGCTCCTACTCGATTTCAAATCCTGATATCAATGAAAAAATTTCATTTATAGCCAGATTATTTTTACCAGCTCCTGATACAAAGAAAAATAAGCGCTAAGCTTCTGCTAGATCCTCGAATCGAATATGAAAGTCAAAGATCTATTTATCTTCTACCAAACCCAAATTTTTTAGTCTCTCCTGATACAAAAGACGTGTAGGACCTAAGCACCTAGTAGATTCTCCAATCCTGGCATTTAGTGGAAAATTCTCCCAGCTAACCCTTCAAACTGTCTTCGGCGCTTGTCATCGCGTCGACTTCTGGACATTCTCTTCCTGAGTGTGTCCGGTGTATTTTTCAAAAAATATTCAAACGATCCGAGTTGCGGAGGGGCTGAGATGAATATTTTTCGAAGGAGAAAGTCATGACTCGACGAAGGTCGGGTCGTTTGGCGGATTTTCGAAACCGAAAACGCTGCGACCTTTTTCCCCGTCCCGGGATCACGCCTCCCTTCGAGGATTCCGGACGTGCCCGGTCACGCCGTGGGAACTGTCATAGCGAGACGGCCCGGACCTGGGGCTTGAATGAAATGGAAATTTGGAAAAATTGCGGGAAAATGTGGGTTGTACAACTGGAGAAAACCTACGGAACAGTTAGGCAAATATAATAGGCAAACCGCAGCCCGAAAAAAGACGGTTTCTCGGTTTTCGAACAAATGCGGAAGTTTTTCAATTTTTTTTATTTTATCTCTTTCTATAGTACATTTTACGACACACCACGTTTCAAAATAATCAATTAAACTAATTAAAAATTATTATAGAATAAAGTTTAAGTTGAGGCAAGAACGCGACTGTTACGCAAGGGGTAGAGAAAGATGAGGACATAGGATTGGAATTTTGTTTTTCCCTGGAGAATTTTCTCCAGCCAGTTGACAAAAAAAATAAAAAAATAAATAAAAAATAAATAATAAAATAAAATAAAAATAAAAACCTCCAGGAATTAGAATCCATTTGGCTAGGTCTACTAAAAAATTACTTAAAAAAACTATGCTTACATAGGTAAACCTAGGTCAGTACTACTACGGTACCTAGTAAGGTCAAACATTACAGCAGATTATCTTTTTTTTTAATACTAGCGGGTTTTTGAACAGACAGGTAGAAAAAAATTTTTGTTAAAGGAGTAAAAATTTCTTAATTTGACTTACCTGTGTGCGGTCCTGTTGGAGACTGGGCGTGAAAGGTCCTCCGATTTAAGAGGAGAGGAACGCTGGCCCAGTGAAGAAAGGGGGAAAGAAGGTGCTCCAGAGAAGTGGGGACCAGAACGCACGGGTTCCCCACTCGAGAAGGTGCCACACTGTGGCATGATCAAATCTAATCCCTTTTACGATTTTTTTCAAAAAGTGTAGTAAAAACATACTTGATAGAAGCATCATGATATCAGAGAAAAAATTTCATTTATTTTCTACAAAAAACGATTTTTTTACTCTCTCCTGTTAAGTGGAGGTGGTGAACTCCTACTGGATCCTAGCGTCCTGATATCAAGGCGAAAATTTCATTTATATTCTACCAAAAACTAATTTTTTACTCTCTCCTGTTAGGTTTAGGAAGTGGGCTCCTATTGGATCCTAGCTCCTGATATCAAGGCGAAAATTTCATTTATATACTGCAAAACGAATTTTTTATTCTGTTCTGTTACGTTTACGAGGTGAGCTCCTATTGGATCCTAGCGTCCTGATATGAAGGCTAAAATTTCATTTATATTGTACAAAACGAATTATTTACTCTCTTCTGTTACGTTTAGGAGATAAGCTCCTACTGGATCCTAGCGTCCTGATATTAGGGCGAAAATTTCATTTATATTCTACAAAACGAATTTTTTTCTCTCTTCTGTTACGTTTAGGAGGGGAGCTCCTACTGGATCCTAGCGTCCAGATATCAAGGCGAAATTTTCATTTATATTCTACAAAACGAATATTTTACTCTCTTCTTGATATCAAGGCGAAAATTTCATTTATATTCTACAAAACGAATTTTTTACTCTCTTCTGTTACGTTTAGGAGGTGAGCTCCTATTGGATCCTAGCGTCCTGATATGAAGGCTAAAATTTCATTTATATTGTACAATACGAATTGTTATCTCTCTTCTGTTACGTTTAAGAGGTGAGCTCCTACTGGATCCTAGCAAGTAGAACACTGAATGACACGGAAAGTAAACTTTCGACAATAGAAAAGGAACTTCTAGCCGTAGTATGGGCTTCGAAATATTTCAGATCCTATCTCTTCGGACGACGATTCAAAATTTTCTGCGATCCCTCTACAATGGCTCTTTTCACTAAAAGAACCGAACTCTAAACCACTAAGATGGAGATTGAAATTGGAAGAATATAACTACGAAATAATTTTAAAAAAGGATTTGAACACGTTTAGCTGATGCCCTATCTAGAGTAGAAGTAAATGCTAATGAAACAAACGACATAGACAATTTGGATGGTATGAGTATAGACGAATTTTATAGTAAACACCCCGAACTCAGAGAAGAAAATTTAGAAGACTTAAATTCTTAAAATGACTTAGGTAGGCCGTCCATTGGAGCCGTTTTCGCCCGAACTTGCTCGGCCGTTGCACGGTCGAATAGGACCGGATGATCCAAAAGCGAAGAAACGAATGAGCACGCGTCCATTAAAACCAATTTTTTCGGCCGTGTTGGGTGTACGGCCGAAGCACTTCCCGATCCAAATAAAGTTGGATTTTCCAGTCCTATTCGACTTCAACTGTCAACCACGTGACTTCAAACGCTCACCATTGTTTAACGCCGTTCTTTGCTTTTTGCTTACTTTTTCGTTTCGTTTTCATTTCGATGGATTGCGAAAAATTGATGTGTGGTTGAGGAGCAGGCTCTTGGGACATGCGTGATCCACTCTATCATGTGTGGTCAAGGATAGCTTTAGAAATGGAACTTCCAATATTTTTGTTTATTTCTTTCATTCCATTTGTATGTAAACTAAGAATTTTCGAGCAGCAACAAATCTTCTACATCCATTTGGGCTGTGTCGTGAACTGACGAAAATCGGCTACAGTGGACGACGGCGTTCGGCGTTTGGTCAAATAGTTCGGCTGTTGAACGGCCGTCGTAGTTCGGTTCCAATGGACGAGCAGCATTAGAATTTCAACGCTCCGATACTGATCGACTTCACTTAGACAACGAGTCCGTAATAGTGAATATAGAAGAAAACGAGCAACCTGATGAAGACGCTACAATTCATTCCAATTTTAATGGTAACACAGTAATCAATATACCCTATTAGAAGAACCAATTAATAAAATAAATAATCAAATCATTATTTCTGAAGTAGAATGTGCCCCTGCCAAATCACCACACATATTCTACATGAGTGGATAGTTTTGTTGTACGCTCATATCGCATAATTTTCTTTACTTTTTATTGTTTCCTTTTGAAAATGTTCTTCATTGTTTAACAGTCGAATGTGTTCAATTAGTGTATAGTGAAAGCGTTCTATTACTCCGTTTGAATCAGGGTGTTGTGAAGATATGAAATGTACATTAATTTTGTATAATTTTAAGAGTTCTATAAGAAGAGCAATGTTAAATTTTACTCCGTTGTCTAGTACTATTTGTTCTGGTGTATTATGTCTACTGAAATGTTTAATCAATTTGTGTATTATTTCGATCGCTTGCCCGGAATTAAGTTTATAGGCTTGTGCAAATCTCGAAAATGTGTCTGTAACCGTAATAAATTTTTTGTTATCTAGTGTTATGGTGTCAATATGTACTAATTCGAACGGTTTTGTTGGTGTGGGGGTAATATTGAATTTTAGCTTGAGGGGCCTTCGGTCATATTTTACTAATAGGCAATTTTCGCATTGATTGATAAAGGTTTGTACGGATTTTCTTTGGTCGGGCCAATAATATAATCTTTTAATTGCAGTATCGGTTTCATCGATTCCCCGATGATTTGTTTTCCCTACATGGTAATTTTCAATTATTTCTTTTACTTCCTCTTTCGATTCAATGTCCATCAATTTATCGGTTTTGAGTGAGTAGAAATACTTTGATTGAATATAAAAAATATAATTCACTATTTTCGTGGTCCGCTTGACCAATTAATACATGACAATTAATTAAGGTTTTTAGTTGAGATGAAAAAAGCTAATGGCACGAGAGGGATTCGAACCCACGATCTTCGGCTAGATACGCCGCTGCTCTACCACCTGAGCTATCGTGACCTTGAAAAATGGCAAAAGGAGGGAAAACTCGTAAGGTGGGGTTGAGATGGGGGGAGTTGATGTCCGAGTGGATTGAGGTCACGATAGCTCAGGTGGTAGAGCAGCGGCGTATCTTGCCGAAGGTCGTGGGTTCGAATCCCTCTCGTGCCATTAGCTTTTTTTTTCATCTCAACTAAAAACCTTAATTAATTGTCATAAAAAATATATTTTGCATTTTATAAATTCACTTTTTTCCACATCCTACATGTATTTGTTAACAATGTTTGTAAATCCCAGGCCCTGAAGATGATCTTAATAAAGATCGAAACGTTAGCACGATAAAGAAAATGTTTTTCTGAAACCTATATCACACCAGACCGCATCTCACGATTTCTGAATAATTATCGATTAACGGTCATTAATCACCACACATACCTAGTAAAATTGATTTCAGCATCTTTAAAATATAATGCCAGTGCTGAACTAAATTTTTCATAGATGTCACTTTCAAAATATAGACCGTATTTAGTTTTGGGAACTATATAAATTTAATAAAATTAATAACATCCTTTTCAAATGTTTTCTTTGAAAGTTGTACCAATATTCGTTGTTTTGAGTTGTCGAATAAACTGATAATTTTGGGTTTGGCAGGGGCACATTCTACTTCAGAAATAATTGATTTTATTAATTGGTCCTTCTAATATGGGTATATTGATTACTGTGTTACTATTAAAATTGGAATGAATTGTTGCGTCTTCTTCAGTTTGCTCGTTTTCGTCTATATTCACTATTACGGACTCGTCTAAGTCGATCAGTATCGGAGCGTTGAAATTCTAATGCTGCTCGTCCATTGGAACCGAACTACGACGGCCGTTCAACAGCCGAACTATTTGACCAAACGCCGAACGCCGTCGTCCACTGTAGCCGATTTTCGTCAGTTCACGACACAGCCCAAATGGATGTAGAAGATTTGTTGCTGCTCGAAAATTCTTAGTTTACATACAAATGGAATGAAAGAAATAAACAAAAATATTGGAAGTTCCATTTCTAAAGCTATCCTTGACCACAGATGATAGCTACTGAAGATAATTATGTTGTCAAGGTACACCATGCAATTGGTGATACCACGGAGGATATTGTCCATAACCCGTTGGAACGTGGGTGGCGAATGTTTTTAGCCCAAACGGCATTCTTAGGAACTCGTAATGTCCCTATGTTGAATGCTGTCTTAGGAATACTCTCAGGACTCAGCTCTACCTGATGAAAGCCACTGGACAAATCTATCGCAGAGAAATATTGACATCTCCCTAGCCTATCAAATAAGTCTGTGATATTTGAAAGTGTGTACTTATCATCTATGGTTTTATCGTTTAATTTTCTGTAGTCTACCACAAGACGGAACTTCTCTTTTCCAGAGGCGTCTCTTTTTTTTGGTATGATCAGTATCAGCGAGTTTCATGAAGAGCTAGATGGCTGTATTATGTTATGTTCTAACATTTCGTCAATTTGTCGCCTAACTTCGTTTTTATATATCTCAGGATATTTATAGGATTTAGTGTAGATTGGTACCTCGTCTTCAGTTCTTATTACATGTTTTACGTCATTAGTGAATGTCACCTCGGGTTAAGGGGGAGAAAAATGCAATTGTGCTTAATCGACATCTGATAAGCCGAGTGCATTTTTCTGTACAAGTAACGCTATAACTAATATTGAATAATATAANAAAGATCGAAACGTTGGCACGATAAAGAAAATGTTTTTCTGAAACCTACATCACACCCGACCGCATCTCACGATATCTGAATAACTATCGATTAACGGTCACTAATCTCTACACATAATATATATAACTTACATATATCATCACATCACAATCAAATCAAACATTTTTCACATAGTCTAATTTTTCAACAATTTAGCTTTCCTTTCCCTATTTATTCCCGTCTATATAATCCTGAAAGGATAATCTGGCCGACCGTTACCAACGTTTTTTCCCTTCGTCGGCTCTTTTCATCTCAAAGGAGCCGACGCCTTATACAAAAATGTCTTTTCTATACCGACTTCCTTCCCCACCCCTTCAAAATCCAACGTATAAAAACATAAAACAGCAATATCTCACTGGCACTCTCAACACGACACGCAAGAATGGCACAATTACACAGAAGACAAACGCTTTAAGTGAGTAGAAATACTTTGATTGAATATAAAAAATATATTTTGCATTGTATAAATTCACTTTTTTCCACATCCTACATGTATTTGTTAAATTTAACAATGTAAATCCCAGGCCCTGAAGATGATCTCAATAAAGATCGAAACGTTGGCACGATAAAGAAAATGTTTTTCTTTATATTATTCAAAGATCGTGAGATGCGGTCTGGTGTCATGTAGGTTTCAGAAAAACATTTTTTTTATCGTGCCAACGTTTCGATCTTTTATTGAGATCATCTTCAGGGCTCAATGTGTTTGTCTTCTGTATAATTGTGCCATTCTTGCGTGTCGGGTTGAGAGTGCCCGAATCGTGTCTCAATACGACACGCAAGAATGGCACAATTATACAGAAGACAAACACTTTGAGCCCTGAAGATGATCTCAATAAAGATCGAAACGTTGGCAGGATAAATAAAATGAAAAAAAGAAAATTTTCTGAAACCTACATCACACCAGACCGCATCTCACGATCTTTGAATAATTATCTATTATCGGTCACTAATCACCACACGTTTTTCTGAGACCTACATCACACCAGACGGCATCTCACGATTTCTGAATAATTTCATTTATATTCTACCAAAAACGAATTTTTTACTCTCTCTTGTTACGTGTAGGAGGTGAGCTTGTTTACATTTGTCTAGGCTTTTCGGTGTTGCTGTATATGGTGGATCGCCTTCATTCCAGTTGTTTATTAAAATCTGCAACGGCTTTGCTTGATGAAGCTGAAAATAAGTACTTGTATCTTCAAGGTCATAACTATCTGTTATTTTTCAACAATTCATCTATCATTCAATGCATCTCTCGGTTTTTCCTTTATCGCGTAAATCAGTCCCTTCGGTAGATGAAAATATGGCGAAATCCCGTTAAAAACATGTTTACGTCGTCCGTGGTGGAATATTTTCTTTACACTCGGATTCGTAGAAAGTCGCCGGTTTAAAATAGGGTTGTAGTTGATCTACGTCCGCACCTTTCGCCGAGTCAAAACGTAAATCGTAGCACGATTTTTCCATTTTTACTCTCGCCTAGGGCAAAGCGAGACGTGGCGGACCTTGAAAAACGTGTTAATCCATATTGGCACCCTCCTTGTTAAATTTGTTTATACTATTCAAACATGGGATTTTTTACGTTGGCAGCCTTGCTTATAACAGTGAAATAATCCGAGTTTTTTTTTATATCAGTTTTTGTTGACGTGAGTTTTTTTTGTTTTGTTTTCTCAAGATATTATCGACGTTTTATCAATATAAAAGCGTTTAATTAAAACAAAAAAATCGCATCAACTTATCATAAGCATAAGCAAGAGAAATATCGGTGTTCAAAATTCTGGTTGGTATTTTTTTTTTTCAGTTGTACGTAGTTGAGGCTTTGTCCCCGATGCGAATAAGCCCGTCTCAATTCAGGTAAATCCTCGTTTCTTTTTTGTTTTTAATCGTAATTTTATTATTTAGATACTTTCAGACGGAAATATTGATCCTGAATGGTTGTTTCCAGGCTTGTAGAAATATGCAAGGTTGCAATTTTTGCCTAAGCGTTTGATAGGTGCCTGTTCGAACAGGCAAGGATCAAAATTGCCAATAAATATATCAAATCCTCCAATATTTTTAATCTGACCAGGTTGTATCTTAAGTTCCGATTTGCTCTGTGCTCACTTAATTTTAAAAAACTATACTTCTTTGACATCCGTTGGATTTAACCTGTTCAGGTTTTTGGGGGTTTAACGGTCCCTTGACCTTGGGAGCCCAACCCTTTCTCATTGATAATTTGAGCAGAACTGCAATGGTCAGACTGTAAAAAACCTGGATGACTATAAGTCAAATAGTAAATTTTCTTGAAAACTGTAGTCAAATGAGATTGGTCAAGTTAGATTTGTCTTACTTTTAATATTTAAATGAGATGACTTTGATCTGGTGTCAGATGGCATTGGATTTGATCAGACCTGCAAAGGTCTGAAGGCTAAAAAAAAACATGGCCGACTGTAAATCAAACTGAATTTTTTTTTTTAAATTTTGAGGTCGGGTGAGAATGATCAAGTTGGATTTGACTCATTGGCAGGATTTAAAAGGGTGGCGTTTGACCTGATGTCAGGTAGCATTGGATTTGATCAGACCTGCAAGGGTCAGTTGGCACAAGAATGGCCACAGTCAGGTTACGAAGTAAAGTGAGGGCATTGAATTTTTCTGGGTTTAATCGGTTGCAGTTGAATTTTACCAAGAGTCAAGCTGTTCAACCACATGTAAAACTGTAATTCAGAATTTAAGAAAATTAATGTAATATTTACAATTTCCAGATTATTGCGATGTCATTGGCATTCGGGGAGACAGGGAAGTGGGAGACGGTTGAGGACGTCTTGTACTCGTTGGACTGCGTGTCCGTGATGAAGAAACCCGATCCGAGAGTGATCAGGCGCCCCAACACAGCTGCGAAGAAGGCGAGCCCAATCGTCGTCCCGCGTCACACCGGCATCGGCCGTGGCGTCTTGATTCGCGAGATCGAGAACGAGTATGGTGTTGGTTTTCGCGACTCGTTCCTCCACAGCGAGCTGCGCCAAGCGCACGCCTGCGACTTCTCGAATGAGTCCATCGAAGCCAACTGGGCGCCAGAGGTGGTGAAAGAACGGGGGATATGGGTCGAAAGGGAGCCCAAGACGAACATTGGCGGTTTCGAATCGAATGGGTGGTCGGTGCCGGACAGGTTTGAAGATGCGCCCTCGCAACAGCCGCCGTCTCAGCAGGACTCCGCCAAGCTGAGGTCCCTCTACAGTTCGGTCGTCCGGTTGAAAAACCGCAATGCGCTCATCGCCGGTCTCAACAAGTCTCACGACAGCCGAAGGCCTTTTTCATGACTAACAGGACGAAACTGTAAAACAGTTCCTTTTATTCATTATTCCGGTGACAACCAGTGACAACCGGTGACATTATTTCATCAACAGAAAAAAAAGTTTTTATTAAAATATTCTAATTTTAAGGAAAATAGTAAAAAAAAATTTCAAAACAAACAAATAATCTCCATTTGGAGCTCATTTGTTAAATTATTATTTGTTAATTGCCCAAATTAGTTGATATATCGAATTACCATTTGAAGAAGAAAAAAAAGTTAAGAAAAAATGAAATATCAAGTGTTCAATTTCGTAAATAAAATAATCGTCAAATTGTTTTTTTTTTTTTGTTTTTTTCAAACCTGTTTCAAATTATCTGATGATACTAATCAGGTAATTATTTTTATTGACTGGAAGGAGCTTAGATCCTGGGGAACAGAATTAGAACGGGCACGTTTTGCTGGAGGGAAATGTGCGGGTTGTTCCTGGAAAATCATTCCAGCATGACCATGGAACAGGGGAAAACTGAAAGAGAAACTGGGGCCCATTCAATTATATGAAAAAGTAGTAAAATATCAAGTGTTTGTAAATAGTAGTTAAATATCAGGAGCATTAGAACAAATATCAGGAATGTTAGGATAGATAGCAGTCAAATATCAGAAGCTCTATAATAAATGCTAGTCAAATATAAGGAGAGTTATAATAAATAGTAATCAAATATCAGGAGCATTAGAATAAATAAAAGTCAAATAGCAAGAGCATTAAAAAATAGTCAAATATCAGGAGCATTAGAACAAATAATAATCAAATATAAAGAGCATTAGAACAAATAGTACCAATATATGGTGGATGATAATATATGATGGGTTAGGATAAATAGCAGTCAAACACCAGGAATATAAGAATAAACAATAGTCAAATAACAAGAGCATTAGAAAATAGTCAAATATCAGGAGTGTAAGAATAAATAATAGTCAAATATTAAGAGCATTAGAAAAATAGTCAAATATCAGGAGCATTAGAATAAATAGTAGGCAAATATGATAAATAGTTTCCAAACACCAGGAGGAACAGAACTAGTGCGTACTTGTTATGTTTGACTGCTTTTTCATAACCACTCCTGCTATTTGATTACATTCATTATGTGTAGAGATTAGTGACCGTTAATCGATAGTTATTCAGATATCGTGACCTGACCGCATCTCACAATATCTGAATAGCAACATTCATTATGTTTTATCGGTTTGCCATTTAACATTCCTTATGTTTGACTACTATTTTCCCTTAAAACCCCTGATAATTTGGACAGTTTGCCACCTAACATACCTGATAATTGACCACTAGTTATCCTAATGCTACTGATATTTGTCTACTAATTAAAAAAAAAGAAAAATTTAACATTTCTGTTTTTGGCGACTATATATTCTAAACATCCAAGATATTTGATTGCTTTACACCTTACTATCATCATATTTTACCAATATTTCTGTTAACACTGTTACCTGTCTATCATTTATTTTACTGGTCATGATATTTGACTACTTTTCACCAAACACTATTTATATTTGACTACTATTTATTCTAATGCTCTTGATATTTGACTATTTTTTATCCTGACATACTTGGTACTTTACTATACAATACATTATTACAATACATACATAATAATACATAATGCATACGTAATAATACATTATTACAATACTCCTGATATTTGACTATTTTTTATCCTAACACATCAGATATTTGTTCTAATGCTCCTAATATTTGACTACTTTTTTATCCTAACACCATATATTTGACTATTATGTGTTATACTGCTCCTGATATTTGACTTTTTTTATCCTAACACACCGCATATTTGACTATTATGTGTTCTAATGTTATTGATATTTGACTAATTTTTCTTGTCTCCCGATATTTGAATTTTATTTCTCATTTAACTTCCTGGCAGCAACTATTTATCTTATATTTTAAACAGCGCAGCTTTCAAATAATCGATTGTCGAGTATCGATTTATCGAGTCATCCCAGCGGCGTTTGATTGGGCGTTGAAATCTGAACGAATCGATGTCTCCCTATCGATCCTCGTGGGTCACGCCTCCTTTCCCAGAGTCACTGACGGACTCCAGCATCGAACGACCCCTTTCTCCGTTTTTCCAGCTGGAATTTTGTTTATTTTCCCTTTTCCGTTCGGCCCGGATTTTTCTCCAGGAGCACGAGATGCGCTGGTACTGCGGCCCTGCCAGGGCGACGACGGAAAAACTCGCCTTGGCCGACTTCTGCGGCTGAAAGGAAGCTCCCCGAGAAGGATGGAAGGATTATAAGAAGAAACTGCTTATATTCGACTGGTAAATTATTCTACTGATTAAACATATTCAATTTATATTTTTAATTATGTATAGTTTTAAATTAAAATAAAATCTTTATCGCAAGTGGTTCTTGTGAAACCGTTGATCTGCCTGGAAACCAGGTCACGGCAATTATCCTTGTAATACTGTTTTTATTATATATCGATTAACGAAAAACTGATGATAATTTATTTTTTAAACTTTTTGAGGGAGAAATTAAGTGAAAGATTAAGTCAAGTGTGTTGAGCGTATCGGTGAGAAATATCCAAACCGTCAGGACTGTCGAAGCTCTCGTCTGCTCAGTTTGACCAGAGACACAATTTTCACCTTCAAGTCAATTGACCGGAGGTAACTGAAGTCGCAGAAACTCCTTTCGTTACTACCGTTCAGTTATTTTGCTTGTGTAACGGAAAACTGGGCTTGTCAAATATCTGCAGTGGAAAGTTGTACAGAAGAATAAAAAAAGTCATCCAATATCAAAGAGAGAAAAAGGCCAAAGCTCAAGAGCATTAGGAAAAATTTCAAAAACGTTGCATGTTAAGAGGAACAAGAGTAGTCAAATATCAGGAATGTTAGATAGTAAACTGATCAAATATCAGGAATGTTAGGAGAAGTAGCAATAAAATACATGAGAGTTAGGTGTAAAGTATTTGAATATCAAGACTGTTTAAAATAAATAGTATTCAATTATCAGGCGTGTAAGGAGAAGGCAATCCAATATCAGTAGCATTACGGGAAAAGTCACACAACAGGAATGTTACATAGAATAATGATAAGACGAGGAATGTTGGACAAAAAAAGGTATTCAGTTATCAGGTGTGTTAGGAGAAGGCAGTCACATATCAGTAGTGTCAGGGGGAAAAGTCAAATTTCAACAATGTTAGGGGGTAGGAATAGTCAAATATGAGGAGTGTCTTAAGAAAATGTCCCCTAATATCAAGAGTGTTAATCAAAAAAAGTATTCAATTATCGGGACTTCTCCTCACACTCCCAGTCTCAGTCAAATATCATGAGCGTTAAAGGGAAAAGTAGTCAAACATTAGGAATGTTAGATCAAATAGTGATCAAATATCAGGAGTATTGTTAAAAAAAAAAAAATTAATTTTCATGAGTGTAATGTGAGTGTGTATATGAGTGTATAGTCAGTCAATATCAGAAATGTTCGATGAAATAGTGATTCAAATATCAGGAGTGTTGGGAAAAAAATCTATTCAATTATCAGGAGTGTAAGGAAGCAGTCACATATCAGGAGCTTTAAAGGGAAAAGTAGTCAAATATCAGGAGTATTGTGTAAAAAAGTGTTCGTTTGTGAGGAGTGTAAGGAGATGGCAGTCCAATATCAGGAACATTAGGGGAAAAGTAGCCAAACGACAGGAATGTTAGGTAGAATAGTGATTAAAGATGAGTGTTGGTTTAAAAAAAATGTATTCAATTATCAGTAGTGTAAGGAGAAGGAAATCAAATATGAGGAGTGTTGGGGGGAATATCAAATATAATGAGTGTCTAAAGAAAAATGTAGTCTGATTTCAAGAATGTTAGGTGAAATGTTAAAAAAAGTAGGGAAATGTTTTTACCTCACATTCCTGATGTTATACTAATTTTCCTCCTGATGCTCCTTATATTTGACTACTTTTTGTTTTGACACTCATGATATTTGATCAATTTTTCTCCAAATTTCCAATATTTGACTATATATTGACTTAACACTCCTGATATAATAATACTATTTCTCCTAACATTCCTGCTATTTGACACTTTCTTCTGACACTCCTGATAACTGATCTCTTTTCCCTCAAATATTCCTTATAATGGACTACTTTTTGATCCAACCCTCGTGTTATTTGATACATTTTCCTCCAAACACTCCTGATATTTGACATTTCACATAACACTTGATTATTGACTATTTTTGTCTGACACTCTTGATATTTGATCAATTTGCCTCCAAACATTTTTATCGTTATTTGTTTACAGTTTGATAAACCGCATTGATTGATGTTAGACTACAGTGAAATCGGCCAGGAAGAGGATATGGACGCACAGGTTGTTCAGGTATGGGGGTAGAAGGGAAATTATTATTTTCTAATTTTAATTAATATTTTTGCACCTAGCATGAGCAAAACCAGCAACAGAACCAAGGGCAGGTGATGGAGGTGCAACAGCAGGTTGTCGCGTCGTCGCAGCAGACGCTGCTCGTCAATTCGGCCAACATGATGTCAACGCCACAGAGCCCTGTTGGCCCAGCCCAGCCAGTGCCTTCGAACACTCCTGCGCCACAGATGCAGCAGATGACTGACTGGAACTCTGGAGGCGTAAGGGAATCTTTCTGTTCTGGTTTTGACAGAAATATTTAAAGGTTTCTTTTTAGGTCCAGGTCCTGCAGCAGCCGGTCCAGAGTGCGTATGTCCAGCAGGTTTATAATGCAAATGGGCAGATGCTAATGTCGTTGCCGCCAAACGTCAACCACGCCGGTTCAATACAGGTCATCGCTGCAGGGAAGCCATTCCAGTCAAACCAGCTCACCTCTGTACTCGGGAAATCCATACAAGGTGTGCTCAGCAGTTGAACCTGAACCCAGTGCGGCGGTTAAAAACAAAACAAAAAACATATGTACTTATACTATAAATATAAAAATATAAAATATATATATTTTTTTTTTTTGCCAGCGAGTTTTCCAAGCTACGCCACGATACCGACGAGCACGAATCAGACCCTTCTGATTGGACAGCTCGGCATGATCGGTGGCCAGGCTGGCATATTCTCGTCCCAGGGGCAGAAGCAGGAGTTGAAAGACAGCCAGTTGAAACAAGGACAGGCGATGCTACACCAGCTCATATCGCCAATACAGGTACGTCAAATCACTGCATGGCTTTCCAAACCATGTTAAACAAAAAAAATCGTAGTATGCGGCATGCCAGAATAGAACAGCTGGAGGAGGCAACAGTGTCCAGCTGTCACCGTGGCAGTTCAGCACGCAGATCCCTCAGGTTTGGGCATCACCGCAGCAACAGCAGGTCATAACAGCCCAGAACCCGATTTACATACGCAGCCCTCAGCAGGAGCAGGTTTACATACAGCCCCAGCAAAGCGTACACAGTAAGTGCATTTTATTGTTTTTATATATTTTTTGTCATGGTTTGAACATGGATGAAAAAGCTGGTCAGATCCAAAGGTCTCAGATCATCAGATTTGGCAGTTTAAAATATCATCAGATCTGACAGTTTTAAATACTGTCAGATCCATTGATTTTAAACATCATCAGTACTGACGGTGTCAAATATCATCAGTTATGGTTTAAAATATTGTGAGATCCGACGGTTTTAAATATCATCAGATCCAACGGTTTTAAATATCCTCAGATACGACAGTTTCAAATACCATCACATCTGACGGTTTTAAATACTGTCAGATCCTATGATTTTGACATATGAACAGTACTGATGGTTTTAAATATCATCAATTATGGTCTAAAATATTGTCAGACCCGATGGTTTTAAATATCCTCAGATCCGATAGTTTAAAATATCAGATCCAACAGTTTTAAATACCACCAGATGTGTAGGTTTAAAATATCGTCAGATCCGAAAATTTAAAATGTCATCAGATCCTATGGTTTAAATATCGTCATATCTGACCATTTATGATACTGTCAGACCCAACAGTTTTGAAAATCATCAGATCCGATAGTTTTAAATTCCATCATATGTGACAATTTGTGTTGTAAGTTTATTTGTTTTAAGTGCAAAACCAGAGCCGTACACTGTCCATACTGCCTTCTATCAGCTCGCCTGTACGGCCAGCAGGTCCTGTCGTGCCAACGCAGATTGTGCCTAAGCCCGTAAGCATTTTTCAATTAATCCTTTCTTTTTTTAAATTTAATCTAAACAAAATCATCAGCCTTTGCAAAATAAAATAAGAAAAACGTTGATGATGAAAGGCATCCCTGTAGAGAAGCACGATGCCCAGAACCAGACCAAGCCAGAACAGATGTCCAGCGTACAACAGTTCTCTAAGTAATCATCATCAGTAAAAATTACTCTCAGGGGGACAAATAAAATGAAAAATAATTTTGTAGGCCGTCTGAAGATGAGGATGAGGCAAAGCCAGCCGAAGAGACGCTGAGCGACTCTAGGCCTCAGGATGAGATGAAGCCTCCGCCTCCCAAGGCGCTCGTCAAGCCTCAGGTCCTCACGCATGTCATCGAAGGCTACGTCATACAGGAATGTGAGTACACGTATGATGCTTGACCATATATTAAAAAAATATATATCAACTTTAAAAGAAAAAGGACAAAATTTAAAAAATACTGAATTATTTTGACCGGTTTTGTCGTCGCAGCATCGCAGCCGTTCCCTACCGACCAATCCGAACCGGCGGAAATTGGGAATCGCGCCGATAGCGACAACTACGACGAGTCGCCCTGTAAGGGAATTTACACAAATTGTCTATAAATATTTTTATTTTCAAATATTTAAATTATCTATTTTAATAAATAAAAATTTAATTATTGTTAATTATTTATTTTTTCATTTTTGTAGCAAAAAGGCAGAAATTGGACGATGACAAGGATGCTGACGGTTTAACCGGTGCTAAGGAGATGTGCGAAATGTGTGGTATCGTCGACGACAAAGAGGTTTTCAAATTGGACAACCATTATTGCCCAGCATCCACAAAGTACTCTTCCTATCATTATTTTTTTTAAATAATTATTATTTTGTTATGGAATATACTTTCCAGGTCTGGTGATAAAATTTTGCCAAACAAGCTGCCCGATGCACCAGCCATTATTCCAGTCGCACCATGCAAGGATTATGTAAGTTGTCTTTTATTAGTAGTTTTGTATTAATTAATTTTTTTAAATTATAGGAAGATGCATTACCGTCCGACCTGGAAGGTTCGAGCCCAACTGACTGGACTGTATCAGACGTGCACGACTTCATCGGCAAGCTCGCCGGCTGCTCGGAATACGCTGAAGAATTTGCGAACCAGGAGATTGACGGCCAGGCGCTCCTTCTACTCAAGGAGGACCATCTTATGTCGGCGATGTCGATGAAACTCGGCCCGGCGCTCAAGATCTGCGCCAGCATCAACAGGCTACGCGGACATGTAGAAGGTCAAGACAAGGCCAATTGATCACGCTCAAAACAAAAATTCTCCCCCCCCCCATACAACGGGTCAATGTTAATATTTTTTCTATGAGTTTATTGAATGTAAATTTTATTTATTGTTGTAATCTTGGGAATGTTTTTCACTTTTAAATTTCTTATTATAAAAATTATATCTCATTTAATTTTTTTCAAAAAAAAAAATTAAATTTTTAATGTGTTTTAATTAATCACACCCAGGTCGAATCCCTTGAAAGAGGAATTAATGGACTTAAAGTGAAATTTTATAAGGGCATTTATCACATGGCAATACATGTCTGTGAGTGATATTCAATGGTTTGAAACTTTTAAGTTGTAAGGCAGTTTAAAATATCATCAAATCTATGGTTTTAATTGTCAAATATTTCAGTTTAAAACAATCAGATCCGACTATTTGAAATACCAACAGTTTTAAATATCGTCATACCTGATGGTTGAAAACTTGAAATACCATCAGATCTGATGGCTTAACACATATCAGATATGGTGTTCGAAAATATCATCAGATCTGGTGGTTGAAATACCATCAGATCTGGTGGTTTAACACATAATCAGATCCAATGGTTTAAAATACCATCAGATCTAATGGTTTAAAATGACATGACATATCTGTCGGTTTAAAATATTGTCAGGTCCAACAGTAAGTAAAGACAAAGTCCAATGGTTTAAAAGATCATAAACCATTTTAGGTTTCAATAAATTGTCAGAGGCGATGGTTCAACTTCCACAGGATGTCAGATCCAGTGGTTTGAAACTTTTAAGTTCCAATTGCGTCGGCAATTTTAACAAGTCACACACACAGGCGAGGACTGTTTCAAGTTTCATTAGATCTGGCAGGATTGAAACTTTTTCTGGTAAACACCGTCATTTATTGAAAGTCAAAAATCAAACAGGCCGTGGTCTTCTGGGACAAAATGGCGGACCGAGGCGTCACAGGCGGAGCCATTTTCTCTCGCCCTTTCTTCTGTGACCGCCGCAGGCCCGTCATCCATATTAATTAATTAATTAGAGAACGGAAAAATAATAAAATTAAAAAAATAAAATAAATAAAAAGTGAGAAAAGTTCGTATAACGCATTCTGCCGTCGGATTTCAAAAAGAGACTAACTCTCGAGAGGTGGGCGAGGTGCCACTTGACACCAGTTGACTCCGGGGCCCGACTCGCATAATTGTCATGTCGTCAACCGTCAAAGACGAAAGCCAGGTATTTAAACAATAAATAAATATTAATTTACTTTACATAAATAAATTTTTTTAAAAATTGTGTTATTGAGCTAAAACCTTAGTAGCTTGTTGGCGGTTGAGCCGTTTCCACGTGGCCATTTAGGTTGTAAGCCCGAAAGGCTTAAAAAGAAAATATATACATATAAACAAAATAGCTTTTGTTTAATTATAAATGTTTAATATTTATATTTATTAGTGTTTAAAATGGGAAAAGTTTTATTAAATTTAAAAAAAAATAAAAAAATGGACGGAATGCACGGTGTTGTTTTAAAAGTTAGATACGACAGTTGGTGGGGGAGGGGGTTCTAAGTTCCGTCAGGTTATTAAAAAAAATAAAATTGGTTCATTTTAAGTTCTGAAGGTTTTATCAATAAAACAGCGCTAGTATGAAAACTATTTTTCAATAGTAGGATGGGACTGTTTGAAAGTTTTTAAGTTCGCAATTATAGCCTGATCGATCGGTTTGATGGATTGTTTAGGTCGTTTTAAAATGGAGTCAGACCCCAAAAGCTGGAGACTGCTCTTTTTAAGTTCCGGTGGTTTTAAAATCATGGAAGAACAGAACTTTTCTTAAGTTCCAATAGATTGTAAGATCCACGGTTTGAAATTTTTAAGTCTCGAGGATGCTGGTGAATTTTAAAAATAGAGACCCCCAACAGCCAAGGACTTTTTTTAAGGTAACAGTGGTTAACATCCCGTGGTTTGAAACTTTAAGTTCCAAAGCTAAAATGACTGTTTTAAGTTCCGTTTGTACTGAAAAAAAAAGTATCTTACGGTTGTGAACCTTTTAAAAAAAAGTTCTAATCAGAACTTACCGTTTAAAACTTTTAAATTCCAGTTGTGTCGGTGGTTTTAATAAAGGACCGGACTCAACAAGGTTTGTCTTTGCTGAATAAACTATCCAATGGTTAGAAACTGTTTTACACAAAAAAGTTCTAATCAGTTCTTATCATTTAAAAGTTTTAAGATTCCAGGGTGTCAGTGGTTTTAATAAAGGAATCGGACTCGATGACTGTTTTAAGTTTTGGCTGTACTGAAAAAACTAAGGGAACTTTTTGCCAGCAGTTTTTTTTAGATCAAATAGTTTGAAACTTTCAGGTTACAATAAAAGTCAGATTGAGTTGAGGACGATTTTAAGTTCTAATAAAATCTTACTGTTCTAGAATCATAGCCAGATCCAAGATTGGGAAACTGAATTTCCAGTGGATTGTCAGGGTCTGGTGGTTGAGAATTTTTAAGTTACAATGGAGTCCCAGTTTTGGTAGCTTGAAAACTTTAAGTTCTAATAAAATCTTACCGTTTGACACTTTTATGATCCGATGGTGTCAGTGGTTTTAATAAAGGAACCAGACTCTAAGGCTGAGCACTTTTTTTTAAAGTTCCGGTGATTAGAAATGGAAAGCATAGAAATACGAATAACATTAGACAGAATAGAAAAATCAAATATGTTGTGGTTTCAAATTATTGAGTTCCAATATAAGATCCAGCATTTTGAGTTCTGATGGTTTAGAAAATAGACTGTCAAATCTGGCGTGCATGTCGTTTTAGATTCTAGCGGTGTGAATTTGTTTTAAGTTGCATTGTTTCCAAAAGATTGTCAGTTCCTGCGGTGTGAAACTTTTAGGTTCCAATGGTTTACATATAAGCCAGATTTGACAATTTGAAACGTACAGTTTCCGGTGGTTTTAAAATGTGTCAGATCCAACAATCGATTCTAAAATTGGTGGTCGGGAACTATTAAGTTCCAACAGTTGAATAAATAGAATGTCAAATGTTTTGGTCAGAAACTTTCAAGTTCTGAAGTTAGAAAACTTGTCAGATTAGATCGTTTAAAATATCATCAGAACTTATGGTTTAAAAAGATGGTCAAATCCAATGGTTAGAAAAATTGTCGGATCCGATGGTTTGAAATATCATCAGACCTGATGGTTTAAAAAGGTGGTCAAATCCAATGGTTAGAAAAATTGTCGGATCCAATGGTTTGAAATATCATCAGACCTGTTGCTTTCAAAAGATGGTCAAATCCAATGGTTAGAAAAATTGTCGGATCCAATGATTTGAAATATCATCAGACCTGTTGGTTTCAAAAGGGTCAAATCCAATGGTTAGAAAAATTGTCGGATCCAATGGTTTGGAATATCTGACCTGATGGTTTGAAATATCAGACCTGATGGTTTAAAAAGATGGACAGTCGAATCCAATGGTTAGAAAAATTATCGGATCCGACGGTTTGAAATATCATCAGACCTGTTGGTTTTAAAAGATGGTCAAATCCAATGGTTAGAAAAATTGTCGGATCCAACGATTTGAAATATCATCAGACCTGTTGGTTTCAAAAGGGTCAAATCAAATGGTTAGAAAAATTGTCGGATCCGATGGTTTGAAATATCAGACCTGCTGGTTTAAAAAGATGGTCAGTCAAATCCAATGGTTAGAAAAATTATCAGATCTGACGGTTTGAAATATCATCAGACCTGTTGGTTTCAAAAGACGGTCAAATCCAATGGTTAGAAAAATTGCCGGATCCAACGGTTTGAAATATAATCAGACCTGATGGTTTAAAAAGATGGACAGTCAAATCCAATGGTTAGAAAAATTGTCGGATCCAACGATTTGAAATATCACCAGACCTGATGCATGGCAAGATTGTCAGATCCAATAGTTTACAAAGACTCGATCGTATAATTATATCCGATTCTGACTATTGTTCGAAAAGTATATATTTAGGAAAAAAACGAACCCCGGTCGGCAGGTGATCATGATTCATTTATCCTTGAATGCCAAATAGGCAAAAGCAGCTGAGAAAACAATTCCATTCAGTACGCCGTCCTTTAGAGCAGTCTATACATCACGTGGGTATAAAATACTTTTGTCCTTGTCTTTCTTTCTGCAATATTAATTAATTAATAATAAATTAATTAAATAAATTTTAATATTTTTATTTTACAGGAATTGGGTTTTCTTGAGGAGGAGTCCCTGGAAACTTCAGAGACTTGGCTTGAAGAGCAGCATGCGCTCGAGGCCCAACTCTGCTCTGAATGCACCATACGCGAAGAGCCCGAGACGGTAAGGGCGTGGCGCGAGGAGCAGAGGAGACGCATCGAGGAGAAAGACAGACTCGAAGACGCTGACAAGAAAAGGCTCAAAGAAAGGGCTCGCGCTGAGCTTGAGGAGTTCTACAACCGGTACAACGCCGAAGTGGAGCGCGTCAAGATGGCTGGAAGGGCAAACCGAGAGCCAGCTGGCGACCCAGGTGATGGTGATGGTGATGTAGCAGGTGGGGAGGCTGGCAGGTGGGACAGGGTAGCCAGGTACTGCGACCTCACCGTCAAACCAAAGACCGCCGATAAGAAGGACACGTCCCGAATGAGATCCATCATCATCCAGCTCAAAAGCGAGTCAAAATCAACTAAAGTATTAAATTAAACTTGAAATCATAAAAGACAAACATGTATGCAACAAAAAATGTATGATCTTAAGATAAAATAAAAATATTTTTCACTTTCAGAAGATATCTAATAGTTTGGAAGATCGTCAGATCGGATGGATGGAAATATCATCAGATCTGATGGTTTTTCGGATAGACAGATCTGACGGATGGAAATATTATCAGATCTGACTAATTGGGAGATCATTAAATCCGACGGTTTGAAATATCACCAGAACTGATTGTTTTTCAGATTGTCAGATCTGACGAATTGGGAGATTGTCAAATCTTATGGTTAAGGATGGTCGATTTACATGAAAAAAGACAATAAATTTTTTCAATTTTTGTTTTTCTTGAAAAGAACGTGTCCTACGAGACTAATTCCTTTTCCAATCGACTCAACAGGTCGATTTACATCGAAAAACACAATAAATCTTTTCAATTTTTGTTTTTTTCTAGAAAACAACGTGTCCTATACGACCCTTTGACATTGAAAAAGACAATAAAAATATTTTCAATTTTTTGGGTTTTCTTGAAGAAGAAAAAAAAAAAAGTCCTACGAGCCTTTTACATCGAAAAAGACAATAGACATTTTTTCCATTTTTTTTGGGGGGGGGGGTTCTTGAAAAATACGTGTCCTATGGGCCTTTGACATCGAAAGAGACAATAAAAAAAATTTACATTTTTTTTTGTCTTTTTGGTTTTAAATATCGTCAGATCCGATGGTTTTTTAAGGTTATCATACTCATTCTCATGCAGCATAAAACCAACCCAACATCTACAAAATATATTAAATTATAACATGCAAACAAAAAAACATGGTGCTCATCACTAAGGTAAAAAGGTCCCAGGTTCGAACTCACGGCCACTAGGCCAGTCGTTCACTCGTTCTCATTCATAACACTTTTATTACCCTTGTAAAAGAAATTTACTTATTAATTAATAAAATTATTTTTAAAAAAACTTTAAAGGAACTTTTGAAATGTTTAATTTTAAAAGATTTAAAAAATAAATTGTCTTATTTTTTCCTTCAATTGAGCTATTCACAAATCGGCAAAAAAAATGGTGAGATCGATGTCTGTCATCAGTGACAGTCAGTAGTTCTTAGACAACCCGATGCCGACTCTAACTGTGTCATTTGGCGCCATGTCCATTTGGAAGTCGGGCGGCGCTTCGAAGAGTAGGACCACTGTCGAACCGATCCTGAACTCGCCGATCTCTTCACCCTTCCTCCATGTGAAGCTCAGCTCCCGGTCAAGGGGTGACGTCTCGTTCTGTCTGTTCGTTGTCAGCGCCTTTGGCAAAAAAGCCATTGTACCCAATTTGATTTTTTTTTGTTCTTATTCACTCACATCGTCCTTGTATACCCGTATCGAGCCTACGTTTGTTGCGCCGACTGCCGTGAGCGAGAAGAATCCCTCCTGCCACTCACCTGTGTAAATGACCCTTTCGTTCATGCTGAAAAGCCCCGGTAGAATCCCAGCTATCTTTGGGTTCACTGACATCAAGTAACCTGGAATTTTAAGGTGTTTAGAAAAAAACAATAGGCCGGGCGGACGAGAAGTGATTTACCGCCTGATTACCAGGTATGTGCCTCCTGAAATTGACCCTGATGTCGGCTGGTGAATGGAACCGATGGTAGTTGCCGGGCGAAAGGTAGATGACACATTGGTACAGCTCGTTTTTGGGGTTTTTCAGGAGCTGGTGTTTGTACTCATTCCACGTGCTCTTGTATGGACTACAGAAGAATAAAAAAACGGTTGAAAATAAACCATCCTATTCAATCGTATTGTTCGAAAACATTGTCATGTCTTTTGGCCTGGGAGAAAAACTTATCTTAAAAGATAGATGGAACAATTCAAAAGGTTGTCTTATCTGATGTTAAGAAAAATGGTTGGATCTGATGGTAAAAAAGTTATCAGAACTGACGGTTTAAAATGATCATCCGATCCAATGGTTTAGAAAAACTTGAATCTCAGACTGACGGTTTTAAAAGATGTCAGACCTGATAGTTTAAAAAGATCATGAGATCTGATGGTATAAAAAATTGTTGGATCTGACAGTTTGGAAGGTTGTTAGACTCGATGGATGGAAATACTAACAGACCTTACGGTTTTAAAAGATGTCAGACCTGATGGTTTAAAAAGATCAAGTGATCTGATGCTATAAAAAAAAATTGTTGGATCTGACAGTTTGGTGGGTTGTTATACACAATGGATGGAATCACCACCAGGTCTGGCGGTTTCAAAAGATGTCAGACCTGATGGTTTAAAAATATCATGAGATCTGATGGTATAAAAAATTATCGGATCAGGCAGTTTGGAAGGTTGTTAGACCTGATGGATGGAAATACTGTCAGACCTGATGGTTTAAAAATATCATGTGATCTGATGCTATAAAAAATTGTTGGATCAGGCAATTTGGAAGGTTGTTGTTATACATGATGGATGGAAACGCCATCAGACCTGACGGTTTCAAACGATGTCAGACCTGATAGTTTAAAAAGATCATGAGATCTGATGGTATAAAAATTTGTCGGATCTGACAGTTTGGAAGGTTGTTAGACCTTATGGATGGAAATATATCAGACTTGATGGTTTAAAAAAATGATGAGATCTGATGGTATAAAAAATTGTCGGATCTGACAGTTTGGACTGTCCTGATGGACCGATGCCATTGTCAGACATGATGGGTTTTATAAATCAAAGAACTGACTGTTCAAAAAGATCCTGAGATATGATGGTAAAAAGATTGTCAGACCTGATGGATTAACAAGATCGTCAGACCCGACATTTCAAAGATTGTCAAATCTAATGGTTTGAACGATTGTCAAACCTGATATATAGGTATATCATCAGATCTGACAGTAGAAGATTTGTGATGAAAAATGATCACTGCTGACAATTAGATGAAATGAATTGTTGAAACTGCACGTTAAAAAGACTCACACTTTCTGACTATCGAAGCTGACCTCGAAATATTTTTCGTTATGAGGCGGCCTCCCGAGGAACTCCTGAATCGAGTATGTTGCGCCTTTCACCTGTTCAATCTTGAATGACCTGACCTTGCACGATGCCATGACCCGTCCGTCAGCCGGCGACACCTAAACTTTGAACGACCTTTTGAAAAAAAACAAAAAAACAATACCACTAGTTGGCCTGCTTGGCACATGGTCATAAACAACTCACGATTGCCGAGTCGGCCAGAGGCCTGCATCCGTCCCTGAGCGACCTCGTAAAGAAGTCTGCAAAGCAGCAGAAGCTGTCGTAAGGCTCAGACATCTCGGCAACATCGACTCCAAACAATTTCGAGTATGTGGAGAACAACGGCTTCCTGAGCAATTCCGGTATGGGGAACTCGGCGATAACACCAGCTCCTCGTGACAGGCTCCTCAGCGGCAACATTTTATAGACCTTCATCTATTGTTTTTAAAAAAATACTGTTAGTAATTAATGCATACATTATGGTGTCTACTGCACACTTTAATATTAAGACAATTTATAATTATTACAACCACAACTTACCTGTCTTTATCTTTACATTATAGTTTTCATAATACTAAACAATCATAATAAATAGAGGGTTTCACAAATATTTTTTAGGAACAATGTTTTTTAAAATTTGTTACTAAGTATTAAAAAATTATATAATGGAACTTTTTGAAAGATGGTTGTCGAAAGTACATGTATAACCTGACAAGCAATGTGCTTATGTCACAGGATTTGAAGATACAAAACATTGAAAGATTAAAAATTATTTTCAGATGCGACGGTTAGCAAGATTATCAAACCTGATGATTTAAAATGACCATCAGATCCAACGATTAGAAAGATTGTCAAACCTAATGGTTCAAGTGACTGTCAGATACGACGATTAGCAAGATTGTCAAACCTTATGGATTTAAATGGCCATCAGATCCGATTAGCAAGATTGTCAAACCTAATGGTTTTACATGGCTGTCAAATATAATGGTTTGAACTGCTGTCAAACCTGATATATAAACAGATATATGATCAGATCTGACTGTTAGTAAGATTGTAAAACCTGTTAGTTTAAAAAGACCATCAGGTCCTGAGATCTGATGATATGTGATCAGTAAGGTGGTCAGACCTGATGGATTAAAAGGATTGTCATATCCTACTTTAGTAAGATTATCAGACTTGATTGTAAAAAATTTGTCAGTCTTAAGGATTGAACTATTATCGAACCTAATGGGTAGATATATTGTCAGACCTGAGAGTTTACAAAGAATATCAGATCTGACAGTAAGATTTTGATTATTACAAAGATATAAGCAATGATCTGAGATTAATTGAAAGAGAATATTTGGTAGGATTTTTTAAAATGTATTATGGTTCATATTGTGCACACCTCCCAGAGCTCTTCTTCGCGGTCCCTCTTACGCTCCCTGTCCATCCTTCTTAGCTGTAGTACGCCGAGCAGCGTGAGCCCGACTCCAGTTGGTATTGGTATCCAGCTGTCCCATATCCTGCGGAAGAGTCCACCCCTCCCTGAGCCGCCTAGGAAAAGGAAAAAGTCCAAGATGTGACCGATAAGCCAGCACATACCGAGACAGCTGTGACAAAAGTCTCTTTGTCATCTTTTCCCCTTCTCTTTCTCTCTCTTTCTCAGTGTTCAAAAATCGACTTCTAATCGCTTTAAAACACTCAAAAGAGAGGAAAAAAAGAGATAAAACCCATATCTAAATTACACAGGAGATTCTAGATTACCTGTGTGTGTGCTTTGCCTCCGCCTCGTCAAGGACCGGTTCGACGCTATTATAAATCGACCTGATACGTTCATCCTTAAACAGTTACTTGACTAAAATTATTATTAATTAATTTAATAATTTATGATAAAACAAAGACCCATTTGATTTTTAAAGAAAAATTAAAGAGCACACTAGTGATAAGAAACCTTCCCACTTGTTATCCACCCCTTATCGGCCATTTTTATCAATTGACTCATTTTAGTCTTATCTGAACTGTGTTTTTTTTTGTTATTTTATAATAGCTTTTCTTAATTCCAATATTAATTATTCAACGGTTAATTAGTTGTTTAAACAAATTCTTTAGGTAAGAGGGGCCGTTTGTCATTCCTCGTTCCTGACAAAAAAACTGTCTTATCTTCAACAGCTTTGGCACAGGTTTGTCAATTTGCAGAAAAAAAACCTGATATGAAAATTGTTAATTAGACATTGCAACAGGGTAAAAAAGCCACTTATCGATATAAAAAAAAATTGTTTTATAATTGTGCGTGAATAACAAAATAGGGTTGATGGAGGAGAGAATGGTTCAATTGCTCTCCCAGTCGCCACGGAGGCAGATCAGAATTTTTCCAATTTCCCCACTATTTGTTTACAATTCATTTATTGTCGTTTTAATGGTTAAGCAATTTATTATTTAAAAATATTTAAATTGGCTATAAGCAGTTGGTGAAAGGGTGGAATGGTACAAATTTGCACCCTGTTGTCCTTGACCAGGCGCGACTGTCAATAATCACTCGTAATCGTTCAATTTTGATTGTTTAAACTATAAATCATAATTACACAAAAGATGTATGTTATTTGTGAAATAAATAACAATTTTTAAAATAATAAAAGTTGCTGTAGGTGTGTACGGTTCAAATTGTCATGGAAGCCAACTCGGGGCAGAACTGTCAATTTCTTCCCTGCTTATTGAATTTCAATTGTTCTCTGTAGTAATCATAATTAATAAATAGATTTATTCTATTTGTACCATAAATAAACTGATTATGATCGGTTGTCAGAAGAGAGATTAGTTCTAATTTGCACCTGATAGCCATATTGAATGAGCAGAACTATCAGTTTCCTTTTTAGTTGTCAGATTTCAATGCTTACTGTTAAAAATTATCATTATAAGTGATTTTGTTAATTGTACCATAAACGACAGCTTAAAAGTGATAAAATTGGTTGAAAAAAGAGAGAGCCCGGCAGCCATGTTAAGGGTAAAGAACTGTCGTGGAGGCCAAAAATTTCACTCCTATTTGTATAAATTCAGTTTGTTACTGTTAAAAATAATTTATTTATAAATGTATAAAGTATATATTGTAGCATAAAGAATAGTTTTTTTTCCAACCCATACAATTGTATGGCAGGGACAGAAAAGTTCAAATTCTCGCTAGGCATCCATGTTGATATTGCAGAACTGCCAATTTCCCTCCTATTTGTTTAATTTTCGTCGTTACTTTCTTCATAATTATTTACAAGATATTTTTGTTAATTGTGAAAACAGATTATAGGTTTAACATGATAAAATATGTTGACAGTTGAGGGAACAGTGCAAATTTTCCCTTGGTAGCCATATAGACAGGACTGTACTGTCAATTTCCTTCTTATCTGTTTGATTCACCTGTTAAACTTAAACTTTAGAATTGCTAGGCTATAAAAAAAAAGTTTGTAAAGATATAAATTGATGAAGGAGAGAACAATTCAAATTCTCACCCAGCAGGACTATCAATTTTCTTCCTATTTGTTTAATTTCTTTTGTTACCATTTTGACTCGTTATTTATACGATATTTATGTTAATTTATGCAAAGAAAAGAAGTTTACAACAATGAAAATGATTGACAAAAGAGAGAACAATAAAAATTATCATTTGACAGCCTTGTCAACAATACAGAACTATCAATTTCACTCCTGTTCATTCAGATTCAATTGTTTCTGCTAGAAATGATTATATATTAGATCTTAATGTTAATTATTGCATAAATAAAAGGTTTATAATGATTAAATTAGTTGAAACAGCAGAGAATAGTAGAAATTTGTACCTGGTTGAGATGTTGACAGGAGAACAATCATTTCCACTCTATTTGTTCAATTTCAATTGTTACTGTTAGAAATCATTATTTATAAAATATTTATGTTAATTATAGCATAAATCACGGGTTTAAAGAGAAAAAAATTGGTTGGAAAAGGAGAGAGAGGAGTTTCAAATTTCCACTGGGCAGCCATATTGACATTTCAGAATTACCAACTTAACTTTTATTTGTGTAATTTCTTTTGTTATTTTTCAATTAGTTATTTATAAGATATTTATTCTAATTGTAGCATAAATAAAGAGATTTACATTGATAAAATTGGTTGACAATGGGCAGTTTGTCAATTTCATTTTTATTAATCAATTTCACTTTTTTTAAACTAGAAACTATTATTTATACAATATTTATGTTAATTGTAGCATAAATAACGAGTTTATTAATTATTATACATTGTCAGTGAAGAAAGGACGAAATAGTTGAAATTCGTACCTGGTATAGATGATGACAGGTCAATTTCTCTCCTACTTGTTCAATTTCATTTCTTACCGTTAGAAATAATTATTTATAATAAATTTTTGTTAATTGTAGCATAAATCACGGGTTCAAAGAAAGAAAAAAAAACTGGTTGGAAAAGAGGGAGTGAGAGAGAGCACTTTCAAATTTCCACCGGGCAGCCATGTTGGCCGGACTATCAATTTCCCTCCCATTGAAGTATCGATACTTTTTTAACCGACACCTTTAAGTATATCTTTCAAATGTTCAATATCGAAATCAAATTATAAATAATAATATCAAACTATACTTCTAATAATTAGTAACCTTTTTTTCTAAACCAAAGCTTTAAACTCACCCAACTTCCGGTATTAATTCAACTTAGTCGATACTCGACCTATGGCAGATATCGATACTTTTTCTCCGTATTGTATCCTTATCATTTGTTCAATTTAAATTATTTAAAAAATTGATGATTGAATAAACTGATATTGTACGATAAAACACCTGTTGTTTTTGCTTTATCGTTTGTTTTTTAACTATGCACGATTTACGAGTGAGAGACATTCTACGTTTTGACTTTAAACTTAAAATAAGCTTTTTTTTTTAAATTGAATATCGATATTAAATAAATAATCACAGCTTTGACAGCTTGAAAACTGCTATAGTTTATTGTTTTTACAGACGACCGTGACCTTGCTGTTAACTGTTTGGTTGAAAATGTTCCCTTCTCTGTTCAAAAACGTCGATTCCGTCCTCGCCATACTGGAAAAGGTATTCGGATTATTTTTTAAATTTTTTTTTGATAAGTTTTTTTTTTCTCGATAGCATGTCCATTTCGACGAGGTGAAGGAGCTTTTGAGGATCTACGAAGCGCAGAAACTACTCTACAAGGGTCCTTATAAGAAGGAAAAACTCTTTATTGTCTTGGAAGGCTTGGACGGAAGTGGTAATATAAATAAATGATGTATTGCTCAATGTGATTTTTTTACTCTTTTTGGGGGATTTGATTGTCAGGACTTTAAATATTGTCCAGGTAAGTCGACTTTGGCGAAAATTTTGACGGCAAAGTTAAAAGGGACGATGAGAACGTCGCCTCCGCAGTGTTTGACCCGTCTTAGGGCGTTTTTTGACGGCCAGGAGCCTCCGCTCCGCCGGGCGTTTTACTCGCTCGGAAATTACGTGTTGTCGTACGAGGCGGCGAGCGAGCTCGAGACGAGACACGTCATCGTCGACCGTTTCTGGCACAGCACGGCGTCGTACGCGATCGCCGAGAATGACACCGTGGGCGGCCCGTACGACTGGCCGGAAGACCTTTTAAAACCGGACGTCGTATTCTTTCTGGCCGTGAGCGAGCGTATCAGGGCGGAGAGGATGCGCTACAGGGTACTTACGGGCGAAGAAGGCAGGCTCAAAGACGACTCTCTTTTCCGCGAAAGGTAATAAAAAAAATAATAATAAAATAAAATAATATAATAAAAAAATTTACAGATTATACAATGCGTTCATGGCGATGAGAAACCCGGGCGTGATGAAGATCGACGGCGACCTGACGGTGAACAAAGTCACCGTTAATATCATGGACGTTCTCAAGGCAAAATACAACATCGCTTTTTCTTAAAAACTTGTACTTTATATATTTTATTATACTGTACTGTGTTTATATATCGTTTTACTCTTTTAAAATAAAATAAAATATTTTTTAACTTTTAAAATGTTTTCATATAACCTTTACCTATTGTGTAACAGCACGGTAGGATATACAGGAGTGTAAGGAGAATTTAATTTATGCGTATCAATAAAAAAAAAAAAATTTCACATCGGAAGTATCGATAAACAGCAATTTTGGTTATGAATGTGATTTAAGATTTAACGGAGTGCGTAAAAAATTGTCGAAAAAAAGGTTGTTTGGATATTAAAAGATAAAAGTTCTGTTGCACGATTAATATAAGTTTTTTTAAAATTACATTTGCGTTGATATAGGTTATAAATATAACTTTGGGAAATAAAATAAATATATATAAATTAATATAAAATACAGAATTTTTAATTACCCAAAGGATTTTTGATATGCAAGGTAAGAGTAGTGTAGGTTAGAAAGGCAATGAGGGATTGAAGTTGTACTTCAAGAAAAGAATTTACGATTACCGAAGGTGGTGGTAATCTCAAATATGTCCTCGGACTTAATATCGTACTTCAAATACAGAATTTATAATTGAATAAAAGGTTATTTGGACATTAGGGTTGATAACAGTGCTGTAGGTTATAAAGGAGACTGGATTTAAAGTTGTTCTTCAAATAGAAAATATGTGATTAAAAATAAGTATTTTTTATGTCTAAGTTGGTGATAACCTCACTGTAGGTTATAAATATGTCCTAGGACTTAATGCTGTACTTAAAAAAAGAATTTATGTTTACCGAGGGTGGTGATAACCTCACTATAGGTTATAAATGACCTAGGACTTAATATTGTACTTCAAACACAGAATTTATAATTAGCCAGAAGACTTAAAGACCAGAATGCACGATTGGTATTAGTACATTATAAAGGAGACTTTGGACTTAAAAATATATTTCAAATAGAGTTTGTATGATTTAAAAGTAAATTTGATAGCCAAGGTGTTTACAACAGTGCTGTAGGTTATAATTAAGACTTTGGACTTTAAAGTGTACTTCAAATAGAGTTTGTGTGATTTTAAAAAAAGTCTTTTTGATATGTGAAGTGTTGATAACAGCAGTATAGGTTATACATGTGACTGTGGACTTAACATCGGACTTCAAATACGGAATTTATAATTACCCAAAGGACATTCTGAACCTCCAAGATGATTGTAACATCAGTGTACATTATAAAGGTGAGTTATGACTTAATATTGTACTGCTTCATACAAGATATATGATTAAAAAATGGTTTTCTCCACATGCAAGGTGGTGGTAACAGCAGTGTAGCTGTACGGAAATGAATAGAACAATAATTTTTTTTAAATACATTTATTCATACCATTATTTGACACAAACTTTGTTTCCATTATCGTATAATTTCCAGATTTTTTTGTTAAATATAATCCTTAAAACATATACACAGATAAAATATCCTTTATTGGTACGTTTGTTGTTTGCATTTTTTTCTTTGTTGGTGGGGGGGTCATCAAACGTTAAAGTTAGTCTGGGGGGGGGGCTTTCCCCTTATCAACACTTGTTTTTTTAAAATATATTTTATTATGCAATAAAACCCCGAGTAAATATTTTGGTATTGTTTATAGGCCATTGATTTTTTTCCGTTCTCCTAAAACTAAAAAAAATTACACGCAATGGGAGAAAAATAGAGGGCTTTTTTAAAAGTTCAACATCGATATAACACGACATACACTATTCTTTTTTTCTTCTTTAACATATAATATATCCTTCTCTACGTAATAAATAACTTATCTTTTATACATCAATATTTTTTTAATTACCTATTTATTTATATTACACACATGTAATTTTTAAATATTTAACTACATATATAAACATTTTTTTGCTAAATGCACATTTTGTTTGATCTTTTTAAAAGGATTATTTAATTTTTTTAAACATTTTCATCCTTTGGTTTACCTTTAAAAATAAAAACTTTCGTAAAAGGATTTAAATTTTTTTTTGTCTCTTCTTATTTTCGACAATAAGTAAATGGTTTATGTCTTGGATCTGTACTTGGTTATTGGGAGAGTGGGGATGAGGCGGATGGAAAAACCCAAAGGCAGGAGGGGGAGGCATGATCCGAACCCCCGCCGGAGAAAAAGAAAACTTACTGTTTATTTTATTTTCCGCTCAATATACCATGTTCGAAGGCACATATGTTTGTAAAAATATAAACTTATTATTTTTATTATTTATTTTAAACGATTTTTTACCTTGGGAGGGGGTGCAGCGGGGAAATATTTCTAAATTACCCTTTTATAAAATCGACCCTATCTCGATAAGAATTTTGTCATTTGATCGAATGTCATTTTTTTTATCGTCACATACACATAAACACTCATTGGCGCGGGATGAATTCGGACGAGAGGAAAATCACACGTACAAAAGAAAAAAAAAAGGAAAATTTCAGGTTATTTACAAAGACTAGATTTTTTTTTTCTCTCCAAGGCCTAAGATTTGGGCGAATCGTGTACGGGGTGCGACTTCTTGCTCCGGAACGAGGAGACGAGGCTGGCCATCCATCGCTGCCTGTGCGGAGAGCCTTCGACTCGGTTCTTCTTACGGTTGTTGTTCACCATGGAGGAGTCCTCGCTCTCTCCTAGTAGAGAAAGAGAGAGTGAGAGTGAAAAAAATGAAAAAAATTGAAGGAAAATTTGAGTGTTAGAACAAAAAAAAAGGTATGAGGATTACAGCTTCTGTTACGCTCCTTACGTTATGTGACTATTTTCCTATTTAAGGATTTAACTGCGGGATCTGAGGAGTGAATTAAGCCTTAGGGACTTACTTGAGGTGCAAACATGCAAGGTCTGCGGAAAATTTGGATAAAAGCATTTCACGTGGTGTTGGATAAGAGCTCCTATCGAATTTAATTAGGGTTTTGTGACTATTTCCTGGTTTCTTGGTATAAAGCTTTTATTGTGGTATATCGTGTAAATTATGCCTTCAGGACTTTACCAAGGACTTCAAACTATCTGGGTTTGTAGCAATATCATGCTGTCAGGGAAAAACACTTGAAGTATCGTGATCAGAGCTCCGGTCAGGGCATCTTTCGGTTATGTGACTATTTTCCGACTTTAGGATTTTACTCTGGGATCTGAGGAGTGAAATAAGCCTTAGGGACTTTACTGGGGATCTAAAAGCATACAAGGTTTGCACAAATGTGAAATTAATTAGGAAGAAGCGCGTGAAGTTTCAGAATTAGAGCTTCTGTCATACTTCCATGTGTTTTGTGACCGTTTCTTGATTTAAGGCTTTTATTGTGGGATCTGAGGAGTGAAATAAGCATTCAGGACTTTACCAACGTCTTGCAAGGTTTACGGAAATGTGACAATAATTAGGAAGAAACGCATAAAAAATAAGGATGAGCTCCTCTCAGAGTTCCTACGGTTTTGTGGGATTTTCCAGTTCCAGGAATATTTTCCCGTTTCGAGCTTTTATTGTGGGATTTCTGGAGCATAATAAATCTTACTGGGGACTTAAAACATACAAGGTTTGCAGAAATATGGTTCATTGGGGAACAAATTGGGAACGTGAAGTATCAGGATAAGAAAGAGCTCCTCGTATATTTCCTAGGGTTTTGTGACTATTTTCCGGTTTCGGGATTTTACTATGGAATTTTTGAAGCAGAATAAGCCTTCTGGGCTTTACTAAGAACTTGAAAACAAGCGGGGGTTTATACGAATGTCAAAGTAACTGGGAAAAATCAGGCATCTTTGAGTTATGTGATTATTTTCCGACTTTAGGATTTCAGTGTAAATGAGCCTACTAAATAAGCACGTGGTGTTGGATAAGAGCTCGCTCCTATCGCATTTACTAGGGTTTTGTGACTATTTCCTGGTTTCGGGATTTTACTATGGGATTTCTGGAGCGTAATAAACCTTCAGGACTTTACCAAGGACTACAAAACTACCTGTGTTTGTAGCAATGTCATATTGTCTGGTCAAAACAAGTGAAGTATCAGGATAAGAACTCCTGTCCAGGCATCTTTCGGTTATGTGACTATTTTCCGACTTTAGGATTTGAGTATGGGGTCTGAGGAGTGAAATAAGCCTTAGCGACTTAACTAAGAACCTGAAACGCAAGGTTTGCAGGAAATTTGGAAAACATTTCACGTAGTGTTGGATAAGAGCTCCTAGTAGACTTCCTAGGGTTTTGTGGCTAGTTTCCAGTTTCGGGATTTTACTGTGGGATTTTTGGAGCGGAATAAGCCTTCTGTGCTGGCAAGAACTTGAAAACAAGCCTGGGTTTATAGGAATGTCATATTATCTGGGAAAAAACACGTGAAGTATCAGGAAGAGCTCCTATCCGGCATCCTGGGGTTTTGGGACTGTTTCTTGGTTTAAACCTTTTATTGCGGGATCTGAGGAGTGAAATAAGCATTGAGCATTTTAGCAAGCACTTGAAAACATACTACTCAAACAGACATGCCATTGTTAGTCGCACCTTTGCTGAGGGAATCTGAGGAAAGGCCGTTCGGCTTTGACGTCGTAGGCTCGTCCCTTCGTCTCAGGAGGCCACGCCAGCCTTTCCTCGCCTCGGAGGCGAAACGTTTCCTGTTCACCTGGACAGACCAAACACGTGGACAAAAGCTTTTTTCGATTTTTTTCCCCCGTTTACCTTGGGCAGGGTGGACGCTCTCTTTTCAGCCTGCTGCACTTCCCTCTGCTCTCTGAGGCTCGCAGGAGAACCGGGCGACCTGTCGTCCGACCTCCAGCCCAGCTTTCTCAGCCTGCTCACTATACCCGGAGACTTTGGACCTTGACTCCGCCTCTTCTCCGACTTCCATTCCGGTTCGACCAAAGATTGAGATCTCACCTGGAAAGTTCATTGCTCAAAAAAAAAAAAAAAATTCAAATAGGTATGACGTACAGCATAATCTCTCCTATGACACGAATCGCACATGTTGTCTTCCTCTTGATACCTTTCCCTCGACCCTTTTCTACTCCCTGGATGGCTCTTTTTCTCACTAAAGAAACAAAATTGAATAAGGGAAGAATAGAACTTTGCATTTTGATCATACCTCGAGCTTTCAGTCGATATTTTGAATTTGAGCGTCTTTTCGCTGACTGCGACTTCTGTAACTGTCGCCTCCTCTTCTGGGCTTAGGTCTTCAAGGACTTCATCCACGTCGTCTTCGGGGTGATGGGAGAAAGTAATACTCGTCTTTCTAATGCTGTAGTTCGAGTTGGATTTGAGGACTTTAGTCGGAGAAGGTGTGCTTACGCCGTTCCCTATGCCCGGCGATGTGTCCACGACTGAGTTCTTATGGTGGGCTTCGTTCAAACGGCGATAGTACTCGAGGGCAGACCTCACAGGTTCGACCATCATAGGCTGTTCATTAAAAAAAACGAAAGTTCTAAAATGCCAAGAACAGGAAACATCGTACGTACCGAAAGCTCAGTCAGGAGGTCGCAGAGGGATTCGAAAAGGGGAAGAAGGACAAAACCGATGAAACTACACTGAGAAGAAGGCTTTGTGATCTTCTCCCTGTCCATGAAAGGGGTCACAGGTAGGCCTTCTTCCTTTTCCGCATCGCTCTGGGTGAAGAACTCCTGAAGGAGCCTGTCCAGCCAAGGTTCCGCCACTTCCATCGGCCTCGCTTCGTTCGATATATCGGCCACTTTGATCAACACCATACACAACTAAGAAAAAGATAAAAAAATTAAAAAAACACACACACAACAACATTAAATAAATGATTACCAAATTGATATGGGTTTTGTTTGAGTAATCGAAACCCTGAAGAAAAGCTTCTCGGAACTGGGCGAGAATCTCGTTGTGACGTGCCATGTCTGTTGCCAAGATACATCTGAAAAGGACAAATTGGAATTAAAAGGCCCGCCAATCTAAAAGACACGAGTATGTCAAAGATTGCGAAGGAGCTCTTATACAACATATTTTAATACATCAAGCTACAATGTTCAATGAGTTCTAATTATTATTTTCAAGTCGTAGGTAAAGTCCTGAAGGCTTATTATCCTACTAAGATCCTATAGCAAAAGTCTTAAGCCAAGAAATAGTCGCAAAATCCCAGGATGTTTGAGAAGAGCTCTTATCCACGAGTTTTTTCAAATTGATCTAACTTTTTAAAAATTCTCCATTTTTTTCAAATCCTTGGTAAAGACCTGAAGGCTTATTTTACTCCTGATATCCAATAGTAAATGTATTAAATCAAGAAATCGTCCCAAAACTTTGGGATGTCCGAGAAGAGCTCTTATCCTGATACACCATGTGTTTTTTCAAACTTATCTAACTTTTTTAAAAGTCTACTTATTTTCAAGTCCTCGGTGAAGTCTCGCCAACTTTTTCACTCTATGATCCAATAGTAAAAGTCTTATGCCAAGAAATAGTGACAAAACTCCAGGATGTCTGTCAGGAGCTGATACCTCACGTATTTTTCCCAGACAATATGATATTGCTAAAAACCACCAGCTTATTTTCAAGTCCTTGGTAAAGTCCAGAAAGCTTCTTTCACTCCTCAGATTTCATATTAAAGGCCCCAATTTGAAAAATATGCACAAAACTCAATGAATTCTGACAAGAGCTCTAATCCTGATACTTAAGGGTTTTTACTTAGATAATCTGCTACAAACCCAGCTTATTTTCAAGACTTTAGTAAAGTCCTGAAGGATTATTTTATGCACGAGATCTCAATGTGAGAACGGTAAGCCAGAAAATAGTCACATAACCAAAGGTAGTCTGACAAGAGCTCTCATCCTGATACTTTTGCTTTTTTTCCAAACTTATCTGATATTTCTACAAATCATTGTTATGTTTAAATCCTTGGTAAAGTCCTAAAGGTTTATTTTACTCACGAGATCCCACGGTCAAATCAATAAGCTGGAAAAAAGCCACAAAATCTAAGGTAGTCTGACAAGAGCTCTCATCCTGATACTTTTGCTTTTTTCCAAATTAATCTGATATTTCTACAAATCATGGTTATTTTTAAGTCCTTGGTAAAGTCCTGAAGGTTTATTTTACTCACGAGATCCTACGATCAAATCAATAAGCTGGAAAATAACCACGAAACCTAAGGAAGTCTGACAAGAGCTCTCATCCTGATATTTTACGTATTTGTTTTCAAAATAATTTGACATTGGTACAAACCCAAGCAATTAGTAAAGTCTTGAAGGATTATTTCACACCTGCGATCCCACTGTGAAATCCCTAAGTCGGGAAATAGTCACACAACCTAAAGAAGTCCGAAGCATCTCTAATCCTGATACTTCTTCTGCATTTGTCCAAACCTGCCTGTTTTCAAGTATGCTGTTTGAAAGAGAAGTTCATGCTTAAAACGAGTCGTTGACCCCGTGATAAACACGACATTCATTCTTCGAAATCCGTATTTACATATCGGACGAGGACGTGTTCCACCTCAATTTGTAGAACGGTCCGGAAACCCGGAATTAGAAAATACTTTAATAAACTTTCACCAAGGATAAACAAGTCAATTAGTCAATTAAGATCTATTGACCTGACGAGCCCCCTCGAGGACTTTTTTTCAACTCCTTTTACCTTATGATCCCTTCTCTGACTAGTTTGAACTCTTCGGGCCCGAGGTGTTTGAAAATGTTCGACTCTTCCATTTCCAGGATCCTGAACGCTATGGAACAGTGGTGGTTCTCCAGGGGCGATATGTCGTTATATCTCAGGGCGAGTTCCGTCCTCGCATTGATCTGAAAAGAAGGGAATCGGGTTAAATCGAAAGTTGAGCTTTTATAGGGAAAACGCACAAGGTGGGATCTTCTTGCTCGGGTTCAAAGCCCCGTAAAATTAGCTTTCCGAGTAGAAAGCCCACGCAGGTTCGAAGTTGACTTAATTACGCATAGCTTAACGTTTAAGTCTCCCCCCTAGGCGCTTACCTGGTATATGTTGTTGTACCCAGGATGGTCGAGATCGTGACATATACAAGAAACTAGAAGCACAAGGACTTCCAGGACGCCTATCCTCTTTGCCAAATCCGCCTTCCAGCACATAGCGTACATCTAAAAAAATCCAAAACATAAAAAACCAGACTTTTCATTTCCAAAAAAAAAAAAAAAAAAATCACCATCTGAGCTACGCAAAAACAATGTCGAAAATTGTGAAACGGAACTTCGTTGTAGTTCTTATACACCTGGAAGAGAAAGTTGCGGAGGATCAACTTGTCCAGGGAGAACGCCTCGATGAGGCCAAGGTCGGAGAACATGAAGTAGAGGAGGGACAGGAGCTCCTCGTCCGACCACTGCATCGAGTCGAAAGAGGACAGCCTCAGGCACTGCACTATCTCGTCCGAGATCTTGTTCTCGCTGTGAAACAATTTCAAACACATGCTAGACCCGTTTCACTATGACCCGACACAAAATAGATTAACAATGTATATAGTAGAATATACAAAAAAAAAACAACTTTTCTCGTAAAAAAAACATATTGGCTGTATCCTATGAACATGAAAAACTATAAAAATCACGATAAAAAGAAAAAGGAAAGCTGTATAATATGACATCTCACATTATACATTCACATGCAGTATGATTATACGCATAGAATCATTTTTTCTGATTTAAAACCAGCCTTGGGTGTCTTGTCTGATCAAGAACGACTATGATTCAAAGCAAATTGAAATATATAAACGAATAATCCTTTCAAAAATCAATAATACAGTACCGTAAGTGTAATGATCTGATGTTATAAATATCATTCATATTATCACAGCCCGTTTTGTAAATTTCTTATCACAGATTATCATAATAAAAAGTCTGATAAGAACGAACTCAGTAATATTTGTTAACAATGTATATAGTAGAATATACAAAAAAAAAACTTTTCTCGTAAAAAAAACATATTGGCTGTATCCTATGAACATGAAAAACTATAAAAATCACGATAAAAAGAAAACGGAAAGCTGTATCTTGTAAAGCTGTAGCCTCGTACTGTTTAGTTACAAGCAGTATGATTGAAAGGGCGGAATTAGTTTTTATCATGTAACACCTGTCTTGGGGGTCTGGTCTGATCGTGAATCATTATATTTCAAAGCAAAGTAAACTATCGGGTTGTCCGGAAAATAATGCAGGATTTTAAGTTTTCATTAAAAAAAATCTATATAAAATATTCTGTTTACGTTTACAGGATTACTCATTNTGGGAAATTATTTTGATTAAAGAACATTGCTTTAAAGTAACTAGTTTCTTTTTTTTTGTTTAATACCAAAATCCTGCATTATTTTCCGGACAACCCAATATATACATTAACGATTCCTTCAAAAAGCAATAATACAGATTTTTAAATGAAGTGGTCTGAAGTTATAATATCACTGATATTACCATAACCCTTTTTTTTAAAATTTCTTAACACTGATTGTCTTGACAAAAAGTATGATAGGAACAAGCTGCATAATTTTTGATACGATCTCATACTTTGTTTACATACAAGCAGTGTGATTATAAGGGTCGAATGATTTCTTATGATGTAAAACCTGTTTTGGGTGACTGGTCTGATCATGAACGTCTTCGATTCATGACTGATAGATAACCATAGAGGAAGATTGGAAGTAAAAAAATGTCACAGCTTGGGGCTTCATGCTTGAAGTAAACTCAATCATGTATAGGTTGTTTCTCGAGCATTTCTTCTTTCTCATCTTCATCATGGGGGGGGGGCGTTATGTTTACGGCTTAAGGTGGAAGAAATTGTTCCGTGCGGCTGTACCTTTTCACGTATGTCGTAAAAAATTTAAAAGCAGCCAAGCCCTGAAAAATTCCAACCGATCATTTTCCTTTATCCACCGGCTCGAAGGATCTGTTATTAACGCCCGTCCTCATATATAACGAAGACCCGGCCAGTTTATCCCCGTTAGGACTGCGTTCCGTCGCCCCCGGGGGTTGGAATTAAAAATTGAAACACTTTGATTTATTCTCCCTCGCCACGACGGCTCCTACTTCCGTTTAACGGGTGTTGTTAAAAATTTCACTCCCTGCTCACCCTTTCAGGTCCGACCTTTACGGCCCCGGGGTGAATTAATCTTTGATTCGGCCGGCTTTATAAGATTTTTTTCACCCCAAGCCCTTGCTTGATTAACGGACGGACCGGGAGGGGCTTTAACACTTTCCAAAGCCCTCCTGTCTCATCCCGGGGACAATTTGACGAATTGCGTGACAAATTTGTCTCCAAGGGATGTAAGACACAACCCTTATCACAATCATCTTGAATCATGATCAAATCAGACACCCAACGCCGGTTTTACACTATTAAAAATTATTCGACCCTTTCAATCACACTGCTTGTAAGTAAACAAAGCATGAGGTCATATGAAAAGTGACTCAGTTTGTTCTCATGATACTTTTTATCAGGATAATCTTTTAAAAGAAATAAAAAACCGCTTATGATAGTATCAGTGATATTATAAAGAGATCAGACCACTCCACCTAAAAGAAGTATTATTGCGGATTGAACGAAACAGTTATTTATATAGTTCAATTCGCTTTGAATCGTAGTCGTTCATGATCAGACAAGACACACAAGACTGTTTTACACCACAAAAAATTATCCCACCAACCATACTGCTGGTAAGTACACAAAGTATGAGGTTATATAACAATTTATTCAGTTTGTTAGTTTTGCATTTTTTATCAGGATAGGACTTTATATCAGCATAATCTGTGATGTATTAAAAAATAGGTTGATTTTATCAGTGATAATATAACATCGTTACACTAAAACGAATGTATTATTGATTTTTGAAAGAATCATTTATTTATGTTGTTCAATTTGCATCGAATCGTTCATGATCAGATGAGACACCCAAGACAAGGTTACATGATAAAAAATAATTCTGCCCTTTCAATCATACTACTTGTAACTAAGCAAAGTACGAGGTCATGATTCAGCTTGTCCTTATCAGATTTTTTCTCAAGATAATCTGTTAAAGCGAATATTAAATTATTATATCGTCACTACGGTTAAAGGACTGGATTTATCTAGTATATAAAGACTAATCCGTTATCAATCATAGTCGTACATGATCGTACCAGACAGCCAATACTTTTTTGATATAAGGTCGTATGATTTTATAGGTTTAAGCATAGTGCTTGTAACTATCAAATGTGTGAGGTCATAGTAGAATCAATAAAAAGGGTTGACATCATCGGAAAGTGTAATTTAACAATTTTTAGAATGTAACGTTTTCCTTTTCGGTTATCACAAAACTGCTAATGACGCGGGGTGTAATTAAAAAGTAAAGAGTTAAATCATGGGGGTGGGGGATGGACGTTAAACGATATTAATGAAGCCATGATTGTTTCTGAACTCACTGATAGGAGGGCCTTCTTTTAGCCGGAAAGTTTTTTTTAGTGGGTGGATTTGAAATCCGCAGTGTTTCGTACCTAAGTTACACGGGAGGGTGGTTCCGTGTAAATGGTGTATAATGAAGCGAATTTATTAGCGGTTTTGAAGCAACAGGTTCTCACCCTCTCAATCCCCCGCCGACCACCCCTCGCTCACCTGGTGGGGGGATGATCGATATTGCCATCTGCGGAGCCGGGGGTGAACTAGGGTTCGATCAAAAACGTGGGGGCGGACCTGTTGATCCGGGCCGGAGCCGTGTTACCGAATCCGGGTCCGGGGGTGGGCGGTGAATTAATGGAGTCAACCCCACGGAATTTACAACCCTTGTCGACACAAGATCCTCAAAAAAAAAAAAGTTTATCAAGCCATTTTCCACCCTTAAAAAAGAAGAAAACTGTCTTTGATTAACTACAACCCCCTTTTAGGGGTGGTTTTTCCTAAGAAGCATTTTAACGATGTAAACTTCAAAATCAACCCCTACAGGTGAATATCTATGGAAACGTGGATGCGTCATCCCCCGTGACGTTTCCGTCTATTGATTTTGCCCCACGCCTCCTGTCACGGTTTGTTTCAAATGTTTAATTAACCTGTGTGTACGGGTTCCGTTTCCCATTTTGGGGGTGGCCGTGATCGATCGTGCGCGTGATGTCTAAATCAATTGGCCTAAATCAATCATGACGGATTATCGTCCGCTAATTGGACTCGAATCACGATCAGGGGGGGGGGGTAAAAACGACATTTGTAACAGTTTTACTGACGATGGGATGGGGGCGACAGAAGGCATCAAAAGGACATCGGGATAAACGAGGGCCCACTATAAAAGAGACGACCCGGTATGTCGTTCTGTCATTTTCACTAAATTGGAATCTTACATTCAGTCAATTTGTCGGGACTGGAGGTGAATATTTTTCCCGTACAGTATTGCTGTAAAAGTTCACCTACCTCAAAAAAATTACATTCTGTCCGCTCGATGGGAGAAAAATTGTTTCCTTATCCAGCTATAAAGTTTGTCTTCCCTTAAAAAAATGTTATTATGTCAGTTTGGTGGGATATGAGAAGAATTAATTTTGTAACGACCCATCTGTAAAGTTTTACTTCCCATAAAAATGATGTCATTCTGTCAGTATGGTCGTACTTGATAAGAATCTCTTTTGTACGTGTTAGCTTTAAAGTTTGATGTAGAAAAAAAAGGTTGGGATTCTGTTAGTTCGATGGGTTTGAGAAGAATCCTTTTTGTAAGAGACAACTGTAAAGTTTGACTTAGGAAAAAATGACGTGCTGTCAGTTTGATGCGATTTGAAACTAATCCAATTTGTAAGAGCCAGCAGTAAAGTTTTACTTCCTATAAAAATGATCTCATTCTGTCAGTTTGTGCGAACTTGATAAGAATCACTTTTGTAAGTGTAAGTGATTTCCCTTATTCTGTTTTGGTGGGATTTGATAACCCTTTTTGTACGACCCAGCTCTAAAGTTTGACTTCCCTTAAAAATGACATCCCGTCCATTTCTTATATCATCTCGTTCCATTTCACTTTTGTTCAGACACCAACAAAAAAGTCTTAAGGATTATATATTATTTTCTCTTCTTAGATCTCTACTTTTCTAATGTAGCCTCCATGACCCCGGCTTGGAAAATTTGCAAACCTCCCCTTGTTGGACCCCGTTTTACAAATCTCCCCCCGGGCATTAATATTCATCGGTCTCGCCACCCCCGGGGGCCGGGAAGAAATTGCCGTCTGTTTTTCCCCCTAAGGGGCGGGAGGGAAGCGGCTCGGGCGGAAAATCCAATTTGCATCCCCATCTCCCGCCTCCGGAGCAACTTTTACCGACGAAGAACGTCGACGGTTGAACGGACTTGAAATAGAAACGACGCCGGTTGTCGGAAGGCCTCGACGGCACAGTTGGCGCGCGGCCAGTATAATTTTAAGCTCTTTGTTTACACCGGGAACACATGTTCCCCCCCCCCGGGATAATCGTCCGTTTTTTATTTCTCCCCCCCACTATCCAAATCCTGTTTTAAGACCCATAAAAGCCAGATTGTAAAGTTTAATCGGAAGTAACAAGGATTCAACAGAGATAAAGATCGATTGCTGACTTAACATCAACATTCCGACATAAACATAGTAACTATTCATGATCAAAACAGACACCCAAAACGTTTTATGCATCATAGAAATTGATTCCTACCTTTAAATCACACTGCTTGTAACTGTACATAGTAAGAGACCATATCATAACAGTTTCCTTTTTTTTTCAATACTTTACAAAATAATCTGTGATGTAAAAGCCTAGAAAGGGTTGAAATTAAATTTTCAATAATCAGACATTAATATATAACTATTTACGAGTTAATATTTAGTATATGAAGTTTCAATCCGTATCGAATCTTAGCCGATCATGATCAAAACAGGCAGCCAAGAGTTTTTAAAGATCATAGAATATGATTCAAACATTTATATCATATTGCTTGTAAATCATATAAACGTCATAGCATAAGGCCATACCTAGAGTACGTTGTACACAGATTATACACAGAATAGATGAAATAAACTTTACCATATTTGAATGAACTGCTCCCTGACGATTTTCTGCTTGGCGTCGCTCCTCCTGCGGTACTGCAGCCTTCTGCAGGAAGGCGGCAGCTCCTTGTAGCAGTCTGTAAACGTGGCGGTCAGAACGTTTTTAAGTTCCCCCAATACTTAAAATAAACTTACTCAGCCAACTTAGATGCTTCGTCGTTTCAAGTCGGTGCTTGAAAGTCTCGACGTCGTGCTTCAGGTCTTGAACGACGGGAGGCAGTGGACTGACCTTAGACTGGAGCTGTTTCTCAAGCTCGAGCACCCTGGAAATGTGAAAAAACCGTGTACACGGAAAACCGTGTATATCTTCTGCAAACTCAAAAGCAAAACAAAAATCGTACCTGTTCTCCAAAGTGGCCAAATCCATGTTGACCTCATCGACCAGCATACCTGAAAACGTTTGAACCTCAAAACACTAACGCTTACAAAACAGGTTAAAAAAGAAGCAGCGTGGCAATAACAGTAGACACGAAAGTATGATGAGAATCGCCCATATCAGGCTAACCTGTTACATGTCTTTTGGACGCTGGTACGATGCCTGAGACGAAATAAAGATATGAATTTTAAAATACCATTCTCTGAGGGATTATAAGAGGAACGATATGACCAATTTTGGTTGGTGTGTGATAGGCCATCTCAGAACAACGCTTTGCCTTAAAGGCTTACTTCTTTTATACATGTATGTTACACGAACATCCTTTCAAAGGTGTTAAAGATGAAAATCAAAAGAGAGATGGACAATAATAGGCCATATCTGGCTGACCAGAGATGCCACATGCCCTTTTTGGACGCTGTTATGATGCCTGAGAGCTTTATAACTACGAAATAAATATATGAATTTTAAAATATCATTCTTTGGAAGATTGTAAATAAGAACGATATGACCAATTTTGGTTGGTGTATGATAGGCCATCTCAGGACTTGTGTTCTTGTACATTTCTTTGGTTTTCTTCTGTCTCAAGTTGAAAAATGGGTCTAAAGGGGTGTCACGACAGTCATATTAACGATGAGTCAACATTACCGAAATTACCGTTAGGCGTGTAGACAGATAGGATGTACCGGTTCTGTGGCGTGTTGGACGGTACGCGGCTCGATATGTGTAGCACCTCTTTCCCGGACGGGTCCACAAGCCTTAGAGCCGCCTCCGGAGGGGCGGCCACCGCCTCCCTCAACGCCCCTGTAACAGAACGAGGTCTAATTAATAATCCAACCGACAGTTCGGGATTTTACTAATCCCCCCCTCACAGACGCTTCTCGTGGCTAATTAAGTCGGATTTGTGACAAAAAAAAAACCTTTTGGGATTATTAAAAAATCCTTCCCTCCCTTGGAAGATAATGGGTTAGAACACAAAAGACTTCCCGTTGCTGGGGTAAAATTGAAAAACCTGAGGATTTTTTTGTCCGGTTTTCCTGTTCGCCTGACGTCAATCTGAGGTTTTTTTTAAATATTCAACTCGTGCTTTTTCCACCCAAATTTGGATCCGTTTTATTTGTAAATGAGTTGTCAAAACTTGACAAACGGATCGATCCGCGTATATATCCGTCCTTGCGGGGCAGAGGTGTCGTCGGCCGGGTCACAGCTTCAATATTTGAACGGCACTGTGTCAAAATACAACGAGGAATGCCGGAGAAAGAAAAGAATCTCAAAAAGTCACTGAAGAGAATGAAAGTACATACTGCATGAAAAGCAAACGTCATATAAGGTCATATGGGAAGTATGACCAGTATCAAACCAAAATATAAAAACTTCAAATTTATGTTTTTTGTTTTTAATTTTGACCCATCAAGTCTCAACGAACGTTTTATATTTACGCGATTGAGACCTGATTATCACTGACGTCTGTAGACATGATTATGCGTTTTTTTTTTTTTTTTTTTGCACCCTTGCGTTAAAGCTTCTTGACGGGGGGAAAAACGAATCCCGGCCTTCATGAATAAATCAGACGGTTTATTTATGGATTTATTAACGAGGGGGACCGTCTCGCTTTTTCTCGCCTTCCATGTGAACTTTTTCCACACCCCCCTCCCCCGGTCGAAGGACGCTCGGGTGGTTTTTGCGGTTAAAGGTCGGAGGGAGGAAAAAACAAAACCGACCCTCCGGGAACCACCCCCCTCCCACGAGCGGAAAACTCGATTTTACCCCTTTACAAGCGTTTCTCATTTTTTTTCTACTTCTTTGATTCACTTTTCACGGGAGGAAAGTCGGAAAATAAACAAGGAGACGTCTTGGAACCGGCACAATCATGGTCACGATCATAATCATGATTTTTTTTTTATTGCAATTTTATCTATAAAACAAACCTCTCGAGATAATACTTCAAATTGATTCGACCCGCCCTGAGTAATACGATTGTAACGCTTTTGAAAACGACGGGTCGAGAATTTTGTTGACGAAACGTTTTACCTTTTATCGCTTCGTGCCAGTTTGATGAAAATTCTGAAAACATTTTGTAAAGAACAAAATGAAGGTACAACTGCATTGGATCTTTTTTTTTCGTTGACCGAGAAATGATGGCCATTGTGACAAATTTTCTATAAACCCGCCTCTGACTGTACTTACCCTAACCTAAATCGACTCTAAGGTAACATGGATTGTCCCTAACTCTTCCTTTTTTAAAGCAACTTATCCCTAACTTAACATAAGGTTAGGCCGAACACGTCCCTAATTCTACCCATTTTAAAGTAACTCGTTCTTAACCTAATAGAATCTAACAGGTCCCTAAATTTACATATTTTAAAGAACCTCTTTTTTAACCTAACTTAACCTAGCCTAACAGTACCTGTCATAAACTAACACGTTCGTAACTATACCTATCTTATAATAATTCGTCTCTAACCTTACCCAACCTAAGACTTTCTTATCGAAACCCACATCTTTACGAGCCTGTCACTAACCTAACCCGTCTCTCGCCATAATCCTTAAGACTTGACTTAAAACGTTCCTAACCGAATGCCAAACTTACCTAACTTAAGACGTTTCTCATCGTAACCCCAATCTTTATGAACCTGTCACTAACCTACACCGTCTCTAGACTAATCCTTAACTTGCTAGACTTAATACGTTCCTAACCGAATCCTAACCTTACCTAATTTAACCTTAAAACGTTTCTCATTGTAACCGCAATCTTTCCGAACCCGTCACTAACCTACCCGATCCTCGCGATAATCCTTAACCTACTTGACTTAACACATCCCTAACCGCACCTAACCTTACTTAACCCAACCTGAATCTTACCTGTTCCTAATTCTAACCCAATCTAAGCGTCTGTAACCTGTAATTGATTACAAAAGATAAAATGATTTCGCACAATAAAATTGTCCATCCAAAAATCATTTGTTATAATGAAAATTCGGCCGTTGTTTGGTAGGAAAAACGAATATTTCAAGCAGGTTTTTTTCTATGGAGGAAAAATTATTCTGTGAAGAAATTGCTGAAAAATTCTTTGAAATCACGACCCTCAGGATATTGGAAAACGTCTGTGTACACGGCATCTGTTCAATTTCCAAACTATCGGTCAGGTTGTTTGTTCAAATTTCAAACTATCTCCATCTTGTTTACAGAAAAATCGGCGCTTTTTTTAAAATAAATATTTTGTTTAGTTTAAGTTTGAAAAAAGATAAGACAGGTCAATACTTACTGTACAGGGTCTCCGAATCTTTGCAGATTTCTACATCGACCTCCTTTCCGTCAGGTGTCACGGCGTAGATCCGTCCCATCTCGGTCAGCCCATCCTTCCTCCCTGGACAAAAAAAGAAAGAAAAAAAAAGAAAAAAAGGTTAATGATTTCATCCGGGTAGGACGGAATGGGGGTTCGGACCGATAACGTGGAACCTCCTCAGGAGGCAGGCGGCAACGAAGGCCGTCACAGCCGCGATGTCGTACGTGTCGATGTCCAGGCACATCGCCCCGAATGGAGCCTTCTCGGCCGCCACCCGGGGGACGTTATCGTTCCCCGCCCCCAACCGCCCCCCGACCCCCGGAGGAGGGCCTTATCGGTTGACAGTGACAGGTTGAAAACCAGTTTGGAACGTCAGCCCGACCAGTTTCGCTTTCAACAAACCGATAGAAGCTTCCACCCCCCCCCCAAAGGGGTCGAAAAACACAAAAAACTGAAACTGCTACAATTGTGAAAACATCAGACGAGGAATTGGGAGGAAACAACTCCAACTACCACCCAAAACGATTTAAATAATATTATACCATCGGATCAACAAGATAAAGATCTACATGGCGTATGCACCACTTCCTTCAGACTTCATCAGACTTGATACAATTTCAAACTTGAAGGTCCAGGTCAAAACTGGGCCTAGGGCCAAACTCTGCTATAATCGAACATTCACCTACCCTTGATGGCCTAAGTTCATTTCAAAACCTTCGTTTTTGGTGGAACTCACAGTCAGTGGTGTAAATTTTGGTTATCTATATGGAAGGTTAATTACTAAACATAACCTAGCCTAACGGTCAAAATTGGCGGTGGATGGGCAAGAAGTGATTAACGATGACGGCGAAATCCTTTCAAAATTTCATCGATGGAAAGAGTTCATCCTCTCGGAAAGGGTGGTGGTGCTGGGGGAAGAAGTAAACAGCTTCACCTTCCTAGGTTATGTCAGCAAGGACCAGATTTGACGGTACATGGCATATCATCCAAGATCCCATCTAAGGATGATGCCTTTTTTGAATATTAGTGGATATTCCCGGATTCGATAGGTTTTGAAAAAAGAAGGATCGATAAAAATTTATAAATTTTGCCAATATGTGACAGAAAGGACGTTATAACTTGTACTCTGATGTCTGAGGATTTTTAGGCCCGGTACACCCGATGAACTAGGTAGGTTTGTTTAATCTGACTGGATTAACAAAAATGTTATAGTTAAAGAAATGGTTTAGAAAATACCTTTTGTCTTTTATAGAAAATACGTCTCACGGTATATGTCATATCATCCAAGATCCCTCTGTGGATGATGTTTTTTTAATATTTCCCGAGAGGATAGTCTAGGTATTGGTACCTATTGGTTTTGAAAAAATAGAAGGATCGATAGAAAGTGATAAATTTCGCCTTGTCGAGGAAGAAGCATATTCCGACACAAATAGAAGCTGGGATTAGTGTCGTTATGAACTTATTTGTCCGTAAGAGAGGGTGCGTGGGCAAAAAGGGCGAAAGGGCACGGGCGTGGGCCATAGGACACTGAGAAACAACCGGATAAGTGTAGGCCATACTTTAACAGGGGGTGGGAGTCTGACTCGGAGTAATATTTTCCAAACAACCCGTGCATAAAAGGCCTTGGGTAATTGGCGTTAAATATTTTTCAAAAAAAAAAAGCAGTAACGTCTTGACGATGGAGTGTAAAAAAGAAGCTAACAAGGTTGTAAATTGAACTTTTCACCCTGAGCTTTTTTTTCTAAATAAAAAAGGGGTTTCTTTTTAATTGGCATAAATGGGGTTGTTTTCAGTCTGATCGAGGCTGTTATCGACCCAAAGGGTGAAGTATCTATCTTTCTACCCCTTGGAAAATAAGTCAAAAAGCCTAGGTAGAAACCAAAAAAACCCCAGCCTGTTATCATTGAATGCTGGATAATTACCCCCACCCATGAGGGTTCATCCTTGTCTTTTTCTTAAGGTGGAGATGAAAGCTTTCCACCCTCATCCCCTATGGAGATAAATTAACTCAAAAACCTTCTGAAAAGGAGAGCCTCCTTTCACGAGACAAAGCCATCGGATTAGAAGGAGTTTAAGCATCCCCGGACGGTCGATGTTTTAGCTTTTACTTCCCCCCCCCGGGGGGGAGGGGTGAAGAACAACCCCAGTTATTTTCCTCCCTTCTATTTGTAAGGGAAAAATCCAGACCCGGGGTGACATTGAAAGTACTGTTAAGATATGGTCTATTCTCATACAGATTTCGTCGTTTTATTTGGAATTTAATTTTTTTCTGTTGAAGCCTTGTAGAAGCGGCCTTCGACCCGGTTTAAAATAAACCGAATAAGGGATGAAGTTGATTTTTTTTCGGGTCTGAAACTCTTTAGAGTGGAAAACCCACCCCCAAGGTGAGACGGGAGATGACGTCAGAAATTAACGTTAATTGCCATCCTGAGGCCATCTCGACACTTCCCTTTCTAAATTCCATCCTCGACCGAGAAAGGGGTTGTGACCGTTGCTCCGGAATGTGTCTCCCATTCGGACATCCAAGCAGAATGCATCAATTCTTCTTTTTTTTCAAAACCTATCGAATCCTGGAATATCCTCTCTGGAAATGTCCAAAAAAGGCATCATCCTCGCATGGGATGTTAGATGATATACCACATACCATCAGACCTGGGCCTAGCTAAAAAGAGCAAAGGTATATTCTAAACTATTTCTTATCTCCGATCTTTTTCTAAATCCGGCCGGATTAAACAAACCTACCTAGTTAATCCGCCGTAGCGGACCTAAAAATCCTCAGACATCTGGGTACAAGTTATAACTTTCTTACCTGGGAGAATTGATCATTTTTGTTGATCCTTCTTTTTTTTCAAAACCTATCGAATCCTGAAAAATCCTCACGGGAAATATGCAAAAAAGCCATATCCTCGGATGGGATGTTGGATAATATGGCATATATGGTCAAACCCGTCCTTGCTACAAAAGTATTTTCTAAATCATTTCTTTAACTTTAAGGCTGCTCGTCCATTGGAACTGAACTACAACGGCCGTTCAACAGCCGAACTATTTGAACAAACGGACGACCGGCAATATAGCCGAACGCCGTCGTCCACTGTAGCCGATTTTCGTCAGTTCACGACACAGCCCAAATGGATGTAGAAGATTTGTTGCTGCTCGTAAATTCTTAGTTTACATACCAATGGAATGAAAGAAATAAACAAAAATATTGGAAGTTCCATTTCTAAAGCTATCCTTGACCACAGATGATAGAGTCGATCACGCATGTCCCAAGAGCCTGCTCCTCAACCGCACTTATCAATTTTTCGCAATCCATCGAAATGAAAACGAAACGAAAAGGTAAGCAAAAAGCAAAGAACGGCGTTAAACAATGGTGAGCGTTTGATGTCACGTGTTTGACCGTTGAAGTCGAAGTAACCATTCGGCCGAATAGGACTGGAAATCCAACTTCATTTGGATCGGGAAGTGCTTCGTCCGTACACGGCCCAACACGACCGAACAAATTGGTTCTAATGGACGCGTGCTCATTCGTTTCTTCGCTTTTGGATCATCCGGCCGTATTCAGCCGAAAACGGCTCCAGTGGACGGCCTACCTAATTCTTTGCTAATACAGTCAGATTAAACGAATTGACCTAGGAATTCTGCCGTACCGGATCTTAACAACCCTCAGACATCACGGTATGTTATAACCTCCTTTCTGCGACAACCTGGCGGAATTTAACATTTTCGTCTAACCTTCTTTTTTTTCAAAACCTATTGACTGCTGAAATATCCTCTCGGGAAATATTAAAAAAAGGCATCATCCTTGGATGGGATGTTGGATGATATGCCATGTACCGTCAAACCTGGTCCTGCTAACATAACCTATGAAGAAATTTTTGTTATCTACATGGAAATTTAATTGCTAAACGTTTTTCACCTTTTCACTGTTTATTTCTTCCCCCTCCAATTAACTTTACCAAGATGGATCCACCTTTTCTGCATTTGATTAACTGTCTGGTTGTAGTTTTGTGTTTGGTTCGAGTTTGACGTGACTTCAATATTCGAGAGTTGGAATGACGGAGGCGATCCATGTTTACATACATTCACTTCGACCCTGGGGTTTTTGGACTTTATCCAGATGTCCGGATTTTTTAATGTCTTGTTCCCCCTCTCCCTTTCTCCTTTTTCTCTACGTAACGGTACGAAACCTCGGCCGAGGAGAAAGGTCCTTCGATAACCGGTCTCCGGCTCCCGGCTGCCCCCGAAGGTCGGCCATCGTCCTTGGTCCCGGTCCCCGGTGCAGACAGCATTCCTGCCGTTCCTTAACCCCGGGGCGAATCGGTCAAGGGCGATCCCGTCGGCCAAACACCCGGAAACGTTTCGAAAAAGGGCGAGGGGGTGAGGTCGTGGTCGGGTAATTTATCGGCCTACGGGGGCGGTTTTTCCGCCCCTTCTCGCCACCAATCGACGACAGGGCTTATTTCATTTTTTACACCCCCTCACCATCAAAACCAAAACATGTCAATTAACCGGTGAAAACATCATAAAAAGACAGTATAACTTATACAATTACGACCACTCGACCTCTTACCTCCACCCATAGAATATACATAATCCTTCCACACTTCTACAGAACATATTTTAGATTTATAAGGATGCTTTCTCGACTGTCAAGGGTTGAAAGGGTTAGGGGCGTTATTCCTGCTATGCCCGCTATGCCACGGTGCCAGTGCGACGCGCCGGTTCGGCATTATCGGCGTTTTGAAAATTGCTGCCCTCCCAATTCCTCGAATCCCCTGGGGGGAATGTTGCCCTTGAAAATAACGGTTTATTATTGCACCTCGAGGAGGATGGAGAAGAAGAAAAAAAGAAGAGGATGAAAAGAATGTGCTGAAATACGTATATGTACAGAGAGGCAAATATTTGAAGGTAGTAGGCTAAAGAGCAAGAGAACCTGACTAAAAGAGAAAGAATGCGGATGAAGGGTGAGAGATAGGTAGTAGAGAGAGAGAGAGAGAGAGAGAGAGAGAGAGAGAGAGAGAGAGAGAGAGAGAGNTTGCAAATGACCAGGTTGAGCTCCTGGTACTTGCCTCCTGATAAAT